TGCGAGCCCATAGCAGGGCCCACACTGACACTTTATACACAGCATATTGATATCAGTAATGTGTGCCCATAGCAGGGCCCACACTGACACTTTATACACAGCATATTGATATCAGTAATGCGTGCCCATAGCAGGGCTCACACTGACACTTTATACAGAGCATATTGATATCAGTAATGCGTGCCCATAGCAGGGCCCACACTGACACTTTATACAGAGCATATTGATATCAGTAATGTGAGCCCATAGCAGGGCCCACACTGACACTTTATACAGAGCATATTGATATCAGTAATGCGTGCCCATAGCAGGGCCCACACTGACACTTTATACAGAGCATATTGATATCAGTAATGCGAGCCCATAGCAGGGCCCACACTAACACTCAGGTGTCTTTATACAGAACAGCTGTCAATACTAGAGATGGGATTGTGGTCAATAGACTGCATGATATCACTATGTACCCAGAGACCCAGCACTCTTTTACTAAACTAATCAGCATGTGAGGGGGCAAAGATTACATCAGTTTAATACTCTGGAAAGAGGTTTATAGGGTACAATTTCATGTTGTTTCTGTGGAGTTATTATTGCTGGTGTTGGGGACCAGAGCCCATTCAACCACAGATGGGTCTGAGTGCTGACTGTTAATTTATTTACTCATCAATTATATCACCAAGTACTGGATATCTGCTGAATATGGGTTCCTGAAAAATGTACATCTTCAGTGAAATGGGTGTAGTTGTGGTATGATTGAAAACACTTTATAGCTAAGTTCTCATCTTGTCCTACTCTAAATTACAAAGTAGAAAACAGGAGCATACCTAAGCACTATAACAACTTTGGATAATTGTTGTGGTACGGAAAGTAGCCTGTTCCCAGCCTCCCTGCAAAGTGTTGTTTATAATGCAACAATTTTCAATAATCACCAAAGCTATAACCCTGTCCCCTGCGTTACAGACTTCAAAAGAGGAATTTCTACTCATCCCCCAAACTTGTGCACACTGCCGGCTGCTGTGCCCATGATCAATGAGTTGTGAAAAGGCTGCTTGCAGCCCTGGTATAACTTCTATCAGTTCATTAAAATAACACTCCAAATGACATGCTGTCGTAGTTATGGTGCCAGGAGTGCACTGACACCATACCAGTGTAATTTGTCAACCTACCTGAGTTACCCTGGCATCCGAGTCATATCAGGCCTTTTCCAGAAGGAGAAGTTGAATGTCTTCATACATCTAAGCCTTACCAATCCAGGACCACCCTCATTCTTTTACACACATCATTGTAATTAATGTGGTTAATTGTTTGAATTTGTTCCCCATAAAAATGTTAACCGCATTATTTAGGCTGTATTATATTACAACTTACAGCAAGTTTTTGACAGGTTCATCAAAGGGAAACAGCCAGCCACATAAGCAGCCTCAAATGGAAAGGTAGTTAAAGGGACACTATAGTGGCAGTAATACAAACATCTATTCCTTGCACTATAGTTTTAAAATCACTATTTAGACTCCTGACTCCCTCACTTTACCGTTAAAAAGGTGATTTTACTCAGCTTTTTTTCTTTTAGAAGGCAGTGTTAACATTAAAAAGCTGACAGGGACAGACTGTAGGCACCAGAACAACTACAGCTTAATGATTATATTTTCCCTTTAAAATCTACGCTTTACACCCATATCCAGTTGATCCATATTCTATAGCTTTGGTTACTTAGGTATCTTCTGCTAATGTGCTCACCTCTGCATGATGGCGCACAATGATGGGATTGTCAGTCCCCAAACAGCAGTTGTTTGTGTGCATGCTGTTATAACACACAATCAGACATCTTGATGCTAGCTAGGAGTATGCTTCATTCAGAACAGGTTTATTATATTTCTTACAATATGGATATATAATGGGGTGTTTGCAGAGAAGGTCGTCTAAGACAGGTATTGAATTTACTAATGATTATAAATAGCCTGGTGCCAGTAAGATGAATGCTGAGTAATCTTGTTCTTGTCAAGACCACTCCAGTGGTCTATCCCAGTCTCAAAGAGATCATGAATCTCCTAAATTCCCCAGAGAGTAGATCATTTTGCAGAAGTGCAGTGAATTTATGCCAGGCATATCAAAGGTGTTTGACTATCTTGGACTTAAAAAGTAAGACAAACAAGTATCTGCTCATTCATCAACATATCAGCAAAAGAATAGTTATGAAAGAAGGAATAATTCTGTGTTTCTAAAGGACCTACTTAAAATCCATAGATACAGAGAAACAATTGTGCATAGTTCAAAATTCAAAGTTTAAGCGCAGCAGCGGCTGCCCATCCACTATATTAGGAATCCTTACATTGCACAAGCTCCTTGAACATTCCATTCCAAAACCACAAAACCATTGGAATTAATATGCCCCCTTTTTGCTGTAACAGCTGCCATTCTTCTGAGAAGGCTTGCACATTCAGCCAAAAGAGCATTTGTGATTTCAGGCAAGAATATTGGATGAGTCCATAGGAACTTATTCCAAAGGTGTTCGGTGGCGTTGAGGCCAGGGCTGTGTGCACACTTATCTGTAGGTCGCCCGCTCCGTCTCCGCCTGCGGCTTCAACCGTCTCCTCTCAATACACGCCAAGGACTCCAGTGTACCCAGCGACGTGTGCAGTGAACCAGCATCCCTGCAGCATATACCGCCGCTTTCCACACCACGCCGTGACCCGCGGGAAGCCCCAGCCGAAACCATGTGTAATTCCACTTTTACTAGGCCCATGCGAGCGCCTGAAGGATGGCCTCTTAAAGGGACAGTACAACTGAAATTGTTTAGGACTAATCACTTTTTAACAAATATGATGTAAGAGGTGGATACCTCTCCCCTATATAATCTCAGTCTACCTCTTCCTTTATTGCTCAATTATACTGCGTTTACTGTGGTGTGAACTTCAGTATACCTATCCTGCCTTGTTTGATTTATCTGGTATCTGATCCTCTGCCTGTTCTATCATCTCTGAACCTATGTCGCCTCACCTGACCCCTGGCTTTCCTCGACTACGACTTTGGTTTTCCCTTTGATACTTCGTCTTGGCTGATTCCTGCCTCCTGGACTCCTCCTGTCAAATATGTAACAGCACCCAATTGTCTAAATGTCTTTGTATCTTCTAATATTAAAACTACTTTCCAAAAATAGACTGCAGACCATTATCCTTCCTTCACACAACTTTACAGTTGGCACTTTGCACTACAGTAGTGTACTCCAAACATCTACCACACCCAGATTCTTCCATCAGACTGTCAGATAATAAAACACAATTCATCACTTCGGATAACCTTTTTCCATTGTTCAAAAGACCTGTGATGGCGTGCTTTATTCCAATCTAGCCGAAACTTGGTATTGAGCTAGTTGATGTAAGGCTTATGTACAGCTGCTTAGCCATGGAAACCCATTTCATGAAGTTCTCCATGCACAGTTTTTGTTATAATGGTTTTTCCAGAGGCAGTGTGAAACATTGAAGTGAGTGGTGCCTCAGATAATTTGTATGAACAATCACTCTTCTCATCAATAGCACATACTGTTGACTCAGATCTAGTAGGGTAGATATTTTGCTGACTTGTGGCAAAAGGTGGTATTCTATGACAGTGCCATATTTAAAGTCACTGAGCTCTTCAGTACGACTCATTGTTTTACCAGTGTTTGCCTGTGGAGATGTCATGGCTATGTGCTGCATGTTATGTATCTTTTAGCAATGGCTGAGGCTAAAACATAAACTCAATAATTTGTAGGAATGTCCATTTACGATTGGCCGATATATTGTATTTCTATACATTTGTGTATCTGGCAGTGTACATCTGAATGTGGGAATCTGCACATAAGTGTGTTACTGTGAATGTGTTATGTGTCTCTGGCAGAGTGTATCTATGTGAGTGTGTCTAGAAACGTGTTTATATTAGAAATGCTGTGTGTATATTAGAAATGCTGTTTAGGAACAGCACCTGGTAAAAATGAAGTGGCTATAGTTGTACAGTGTGTCTGAGAATATACTTGAATTATCATTTAGAAAATAAATGTAGAAAGATCCAGACACATATAGACCATTAAAAGCAGACTTTATTTCCAATCGGAGCAGCAAATGTTTAAGCACTGAAACAGAGGCCTTATCAAGCCTTGATAAAGACTCAGTCAGTGCACCTCTTGTTTATTATATCACGTTTGCACACTGGCAATTCAGAATTTGAGACATCAAGTGCACAGCCATGGGCTATGGAATGAGGTGGGGGCTTGTCAGAACTCAAATTGTAGTATGTAACTCACATAATTTGGGAGCTGGCTGCCACTCTGCCCATTTTAGGAAACCATGGTTTTCAGTCCATATTTTCTGGTTTTCAGCTAAATTCCAAATTAAAATATTAATGGCAAATATTGGGTAGCAACTAAAAGCTCTGAGTATCGGTTATACACTGAACAAAATTATAAACGCAACACTTTTATTTTTGTCCCCATTTTTCATGAGCTGAACTCTAAGACTTTTTCTATGTAAACAAAAGGCCTATTTCTCTCAAATATTGTTCACAAATCTGTCTAAATCTGTGTTAGTGTGCACTTCTTCTTTGCCGAGATAATCCATCCACCCCACTAGAGGCTGGATTAACCCTGCAGTGTCAACATAGCAGTTTCTCTGAAACTATGTTTTCAGCTGCAGGGTTACAACTAGGGGAACTTGGCACCCAGACCATTTCATTGAGCTGAAATGGTCTTGGTGCCTATAGTGGTCCTTTAAATTTAAGAACTGACTGTTTACTTGCTGCCTAAACAGGTCCCACCCCTTAACAGGTGCCATTGTAACAATATAATCAATCTTATTCATGTCAATGGTTTTAATGTTGTGGCTAATCAGTATGTAGGTTTGTTTCAGTTAATGAGCATATGTTTTATTCTATAAACTACTGACAACATTTTTACAAAATAAGAATACTGTCATTTTTAGTATTTATTTGCAGAAAATTACAACAGGTCAATGTCATAAAAATATTACTCTGCCCAATTCCAGCATGCTGAATCCCACTTAAAACATCACCAATCCTCCCACAAAACACTGTGGCTTGTAGGCCTCTCCAGGCCTGGGTTTAACCATTAGACGACAATGTTAAGGGCAAAGCAGGAAATTGGACTCATCTGAGAATATGACTTTATTCCAACAGTCGATGGTTGAACCTCAGAATGGCTCTTTTTGCTTCTTATTTACCAAGGGCTTTTCTTCTAGTCTTCCACAACTTCAATTCACCCTCATAGTGCACTTCACCCTAGCTGCGATTTGTCATTCTTTTTGTTGGTGACTTGATGTCATCCTATGGTTGCTGTGTCACATTTGAATAAGTTGGCAGTCATTCCGGTCAGCGTAGTCTTTTTTGCCCTATGCAGGTCTGTACCACTGTTATCCCCAATGCTGCTGCTTGACTTTGTTCTTAAGAACTGCGGTCTTTGAAATATCAAGGATGGAAGAAACCTGGCTCTCTGTTTCCCAATGCCAGTAAAATTAAAATTAAACCCATCTTTTCCTCACTCAAGACCTTTCTTTCCATCTTTTTCATGGTCAGTAGACATTTTTGTTATTCTAAATACTGTGGTACTACTAACACTGTTTTTTCCATCCAGCCAGTTCTTTTGCTCATTAAAGGGACGTTATAGGCACCCAGATTACTTCAGCTCATTGAAGTGGTCTGGGTGCAGTGTCCCTGTCCCACTTTGTCCTGGAATGTAAAACATTGCAATTCTTGCGAAACTGCAATAATTACTATGCACAGCCACTAAGATCGCTTCTGTGATTCTAACGAACTCTAAGTCACTTAAACAAAGCTGGATGTCCTGACGCTCTACATGAGGACACCCACTGTCAGTGAAATCTCCATAGGAAAGCATTGAGGCTCCTGTTAGGTCCCCCCACCCATAGGATTACGTTAAAGGCGTAGCGACGATCCTCACAGGTGCTGGTGTCGGGTTTGAAAAATAAAGTTTTTTTCTAACCATTAACCTTTCTATACTGGGGGGGGGGAGGGGGCATGGGGCACTATAGCATTAAGAGTACAGATTTGTATTCCTAACACTATAGAATCCATTTAAATAAGATTTTGGTTCAGGTGATCACCTAATCAGTACCTCATTAAAGGACCACTATAGTGCCAGGAATACATACTTGTTTTCCTGGCACTATAGTGCCCTCCCACCCGGCTCTGGAAGGGGGTAAAAATTTACCTTTCTCCAGCGCTGGGCGGGGAGCTCTCCTCCTCTTATTCGGCTGAATGCGCACACGCGGCAAGAGCTGTGTGCGCATTCAGCCGGTCACATAGGAAAGCATTATCAATGCTTTCCTATGGACACTTACGTGCTCTCACTGTGATTTTCACAGTGAGAATCACGCAAGCGCCTCTAGCGGCTGTCAATGAGACAGCCGCTAGAGGAATTGGAGGAAGTATTAACCCATTAATAAACATAGCAGTTTCTCTGAAACTGCTATGTTTATAAAAAAAAATGGGTTAATCCTAGATGGACCTGGCACCCAGACCACTTAGAATGCCTGGAATGTTATAGCTGCCAGCCAGCTAGCGATAATGATTGGGGGTGGAGGAATGGAGAGCTGTATTATATAAAGACTTTGTAATTCAGATCCAGCTCTTCTATACTGCCAACAGTCAGACACTGGACACAGAACCAGCGGTGACTGAGACCGCTCTACAAGTGCCAAGCCTCGTTTTCAAAATATTTCTCAGTACTGCTTCCTGTCTTTATTTGACCTATGAACATCGAGCACACAGCTCCGGTGTCTAGAGCGAGGTTTGACACGCAAGATTTGGAACGCAACGTTTCAGTTTCCGCATACACGTCCGCTTGTCAGGAAAAAGCTGTCCACCCCGGCTGTCACTACGGCTACCGAACGGGACCATTTATTGTTTTCCTGTTTGAAGTCACGGAGTAACTGACCCACTCAGGGGTGGCCTTTTCCCCCATCCTGCCTGTGGGCTGGTCTTTTGGCAGGTATGATGCCGTGTCGGGGCTGTCGGTCACGGCGCTCAGTGACACTCACACACAGTGCCTGGCTATTCCAGGACAGGGTCTCCATAGCACTAGAATCACAATCCTCTCTGACGTCACATGTCCCGTGTCAGGCCTCCCCTCCCCATACTGCGTGGTACAGTCCGGGTACCATCCTTGGACTGTACCATGTGCGGCGCTCCCAGGGGTGTCCCGCTGCGGGCCGGTAGTAGGCAGTGATTGCAGCGCTGAGCTCTGTATTGCCGGGCTGCGGTCACCGCTCTGTGTGCCGGCTCGCCGTCTCTCCAGTGACGCTGCTCTCATGTCGCTCCCCCGCAGGTACCCGCGCTGAGCCGGCTGTTTTGAAAAGTTGTCTCCGCGGAGAGTCCTGCGTTACCCGAACCGTGAGAGCCGCGAGAGAGCCGGCGGCTCCGGCCCCACAGCCCGGCCGGCATGATGAACTCCGAGGAAGAGCCGCTGGCCGCCTGCCCTCTGCATGTCCACGTCTGGAATAACGACTACCGGGCTCTGGAGAGCGAGCTGCCGGGGAAGGTGAGGTCAGCCGCCGCACCGTGTGCCTGCTAATGGGCTGGGAGTGTGTGTGTGACCCCGGAGGCTCTCAGTCAGTGTGTATTGTAACCATTGTGTAATGGCAGTGTGTGTGTGTGACCCCGGAGGCTCAGTCCGTGTGTATTGTAACCATCGTGTAATGGCAGTGTGTGAGAGAGAGAGAGCTGCGAGGAGGCCATTCCCCGAATGTTACAACATGCTCTGTGCCTGAACGTATGGCTATCACATGTACATAACAAGGCGACCATGACAGCCCCCATCCCTGACACTGACTTACAAACACGCTGCACTCAGGGATGGCTCTGATCCTCATTCTCTCTCTCTCTCAGGGCCCCTGCCATGGCTGAGCATAATGGGAAATGTAGTTCAGAAACATCTGGGGAGCTAAATGTTGCCATCACTGTTATACAGAGATTTGGATAACTCTATAAGGGTTCCTATCTGGTTGTCATGTATTTGTCACATCGTCTTTAAATTGGACCCATGGCAGCCTTGATGTTCGCTTTGCACTTACAATAATATGATGTCACATCCAGCAGTTTTACTCAAATATATTTGTGGTTTTGTTTTTTGTTTTTAATTTTATTTTGTTGAGTAATCATCAATGGCAACATTAGAAGTTCGTGTGCTAAATGATTTATTCACCAAACATTGTGATGAGCTGAAAGTCAACTTTTAAAATCTAGGCGAAAAAGAGCCACAAAGTGACAACAACATAATTGGAAAAAAATATATATAAAATCATGTAAGCCGTTTTGAAAGAAATATTGCAAATCTGGTTTTGGTTCAGTGCAATTCACTAAGTAGTGCTTAAACTCTAAAGTCTTTTGTTCTCTTCCTGCAGCAGTGGCTTCAGCTGTTTTATGACACGCACCCAATGCAGTCAGATTGTGTACTGTATTATTGCTGTCATCAGACCTGATTTGTATCTTGAGTATCGTGGATACGCTGACTGCAGCTCATATGTATAGTATACTTATTTGTAAACTTGCCATCCCCATTTAATTTTTTTTTTTTTTTTTTTTATAACAGCACTATGATACATAAAAGTAATAATTTCAAGCTCATCAGTTTACGTGTACTAAATGCCTGAAAGTAAGTTGCATGGTTCATTTCATTACAAAAAGATGAATGCTTTGGATGGAAGTACAAATTTGGCTAAAATAATCAAATTTGCCCTTTGACTAGCCAACTGGATTACATATAGCAAATGGTTGGTTGAAAATGCCGAATTTGAACAGCTGGGTCTTTTTCAGTGCTTAGCAACCAGATCCTTCAATATCTCTTTTAATTATGCCTGTTCATGGAAGGGGCTTTTGCTTTCAAAAGGTTTGGCTAAAAGTCATTGAGGCATCCACTGCCTGACCCCTGCTTGTCAGAATTCCAAATACAGACACATCTTGAATTTTGGAATTGAAACTTCCAACGAACAGGGTCTGAACCTTGGTTACCAAAGGCTTGACCAGGAACCAGGTAACACGGCACACATCCTCGTAGTACCATCACTAATACATCAATGTATACTGGTTGTTACACTTATACTGCTCCTTTAAAAGGAAATTATACACTGATCAGCCACAACATTTTTATAAAGGGATTATATTGTTACAATGGCACCTGTCAAATTGTGGGATATATTGGGCACCAAGTAAAGAGTCAGTCTAAGAGCCAAATAGTGATGGCTAGACTACTGGAGCAGAGCATGGCAGGTTTTGTGGGGTGTTCATGTCATGCAGTGGTTAGTATCTCCCAAAAGTGGTGCAAGAAAGGTCAACCGGTAAAGGGCCTGGGTTCTCAAGAGTCATTAATGCATGTGGGGTGTTAAGACTAGCACATCTGGTTTGATCACACAGAAAAATGACTGTAGTTTAGATTGCTAAAAAAACAACAACTTAATGCTGACCATCATAGAAAGGTGTTAGAACACACCATCATAGTTTGGTGCAGAGCGGTCAGAGTGCCCTTGATGACCCCTGTCCACTGCAGAAAGCGCTTTCATTTGAGACGTTCACATCAGAACTGGACCATTGAGCAATGGAAAAAGGTGGGCCTCCAAATTCTACAGATCTCAATCCGATTTAAGCATCTTTGTGATGTGCTGGAACCAAAAATACAATCCATGGAGCCTCCACCTCACAACTTGTAGGACTTAAAGGATCTGCTGCTAATGTCTTGGTGACCGATATCACTGAAAATGTTCAGAAGTCTTGTGGAGTCTATGGCTTGACTCATCATGTTTTGCAGCACAAGGTGGGCCTACGTGATATTAGGCAGATGTTTAAATGGTGTGTGTGTGTGTGTGTGTTGTTGAATCAATGCATCTCTATGAGGAACGTTCAGTGCCTTCATGCAGATCGTGGAGGTGCTGAATGTCAGTGCTGCACATTGTGCAATACTGACCCCTGAAGTCTTAAGTGATTGCCACTAGAGGTATTCCTAGGCCATAATGTAAACACTGCATTTTCTCTGAAAAGACATTGTTTGAAATTTTGCACCTTCCACAGTCTTACCAAAAACAGTATAATCACCTCTACGTTGTCTAGGAATTGCAGTGAAATTTCAGGGAAATTCCAATACATTTGGCATGAGATGTTCCTAAAGATTCTATCTTGAGTAGTGACTTCACCGTGTCTTATTGTTGCTAAAACGCTTGCATTACTCAGTATCTGAGATACAGCTTCCTCATATGATTCTAATGCATTAATGTCTAGGGTTTACAGGAAGTAGTGCAGTAAACAAAAATCACCAAGTGAGTTTCATTTATGTGTGAGATTACCTTGTTAAAGAAACACTACAGCGTTAGGAATTCTAACCTGTCAGAGTTACAACCACTAAAGGTGGTTTTAGGCACCAGTTTAAACATTGCCAAGGCCACAAAGTCTGTCTGTGTGCCCCAGGACCATTATTTTACGCTGTATTGATATTGGTGCTTATAGTTTCCTTTTAGTTAGACTCTTTGAAGCAGATAGACAGCAAATCCTTAACCATTCTGCAAATGATGTACTTTGCATCTTAAGCAGAGGGTCTAAATAGAAACTGGAGGGATATCACATTATCATAGCAATAAGTTGTTGTGGTGCTTGCATTGTCCCTTTAAATCATGTATAGTTGTAAATGGACAATATTTATACATGTTCTTTGTATGTAGTGACTATCACATATTGATACAAAGAGACAGGCTTCCATAAAGGGATACTATGGTATCAGAAAACAAACGTATTCCTGACACTATAGTCCTGAAGTGGCTGTTTAGGTGATTTGCCCCCTCTTTGCATATATATATATATATATATATATATATATATAAATATTTTTCAATGTAGGGTAATAGCTTCTCGATCCAAAGATAAATCTGCCATTCTGGGGTCCAGAGGGAATTTTTTTTTCCTAGTTTGTTACAAAATTGGAAGTGCTTCAAACTGGGGATTTTTACCTTCTTTTGGATCAAGGGCAAAAAACAAATGTGAAGAAGGCTGAACTTGATGGGCACATGTCTCTTTTCAGCCTATGTAACTATATGTCTTGCTGCAGCTTGGCCCGTCTGCCTCTGCCTCCATGGCTGAGATCATTAATCCTGATGATCCCAGCCAATCCAATGCTATCCCACAGGAAAGCTTTGGAAGGCTATTGCACATGTTCAACAAAACGCTGCGTTGCCTCTGTAAGTTTCTCCTCATAGAGATGCATTTAATCAATGCATCTTTATGGGGAGTGTTCAGCATCTGTGTGACTCTGTGTTAATCTGAAAAGGCAATATTTACAGTTCTATCAGTACAGGGACATGCTATAGTTACCAGAACCACTACATTAAACTGTAGTGGTTCTGGTGACTATAGGGTCCCTTTATAAAGGACACTATAGGCACCCAGACCACTACATCATAATGAAGTGGTCTGGTTGCCACTGCATTCTCAATTTAACAAGGTAAATCTGATGATCTCAGCATAGATGCAGAGCCTGTCGCACAGGGGCAGCTGAACATGGGCTAAAAGGCAAGTAAAAACCTTTTTTAATCATGGGGTCCTCGTCTAACAGGTGACTAGAACACTATAGTGTTCTTTTAATAATCAAAGTTATACAGATGCCTCGAATACCCCTTTTCTGAGCAATTTTACCTTTACATCATTCTCTTAGTATAATTTTCTTACAACAGTGAAACTATGTCCTAGGACATTACACATAATATACGTTTATTTTTCTAGCAGCTTTATATGCTTGAACTCTGAGCATATATTTCACAGCTGATACAGTTCCTGTACAAGCAGTAGAAGACCTGATCACTTTAAAGGAACACTATAGGGTCAGGAACACAAACATGTATTCCTGACCCTATAATGTTAAAACCACCCTCATGCTCCCATCCTGGCTCCTCCTTGCCTCCCTAAATATAGTAAAATCTTACTTGTATTAAAGTCTGCAATTGCTGCTGCCTCTGCCCCTGATCTACTTGCATGCCTGACATCATCAGAAGTCATTCTGTGAGCCAGCCGCAATGCTTTCCCATAGGATTTACTGAGACTGTCAAGGAGGCAGATCAGGGGCACAGCCAGCACTATTCAAACATGGCCCTGGCCAATCAGCATCTCTTCATAGAGATCCATTGAATCAATGCATCTCTATGAGGAAAGTTCAGTGTCTGCATGCTGAGGGTGGAGACACTGAATGGTAGTACTGCACAGTGTGCAGCACTGTCCTAGGAGGTACCTCTAGTAGCCATCTGAGGAGTGGTCAATGGAGTTATCCCTAGGCTGTAATGGAAACACTGCATTTTCTCTGAAAACACAGAGTTTATTGCAAAAAGCCTGAAGGGAATAATTATACTCACCAGAACAGATCCAATAAGCTGTAGTTGTTCTGGTGACTATAGTGTCCCTTTAATTTCACGAGTCCTGTCATTTTATGTACCTGGGCCTACAATCAATCTGTTAGCTTGGTCCTAGCGGGTATTCATGGTGCAGTGTCACAAGTCATCACAGGAGTGCACATGTACAGTCTGCATAATTGTAGTCCGCACAATCAATGCTGTTTGAACAGTCTTTGATGATATGGGAAAATGTTCTACAGACCTCGCTGTGGCTAAGAAACAAGTTAATTCTACCAGGGAGAACAGATCACAACATTAAAAGTGAAAGCATCCAGGTCGCCCAAGGTAAACACAGGTGTGAACATATAGATAGGGATTTAAACAAAGGCGCACTGTAGTCTGTATTTCTATTTGTATGTATTTTTATTATGTACGAAGCACCAACTTATTCAGCTGTGCTGTATAATAGTGTGTATGTCACCAGCTAAATAAATAAATAAATAATAATAATAATAATAAAGAAGAATAACTTTTGGACATACCATCAATTTCTCATAAATTCCCCGGTCATTTAATTAAGATAGTTAAGAAATATACATTTGTCTGGACAGAGGAATTACACTGCTGTGAGAAAGCTGTTTAATTAGCCTTGCATTTGTATGTGGATAGACCAGTCTGACCTGCCCACCTGTACCTACCTACTGTAACTGTACAAAGTCTGCTGTTTTGCACTGCTATCTTTCCAGTGCATTATCCTGAATAACAGTAATTCTTGAGGAAAAGAACAGAGTTGATGTACTCTTGAGCCTGATGTAAGGAGTTTCCAATGGCAAGGACTAGTATCTGAACTGAACATTGGCTGCAGCATTCTTGAGTGCTTGGAGAAGGTGTGCAAATATTAGGATGTCACAACACTGAGTGGGTAATGGATACACATTGCTTGGAGTAGGTGTACAGAAATTAAAATGTCACAAAGCTGAGTGGGAATAGATACACATTGCTTGGAGTAGGTGTACAGAAATTAAAATGCTGCAAAGCTGAGTGGGAATAGATACACATTGCTTGGAGTAGGTGTACAGAAATTAGAGGTTCTGTAATGCCATACTTACCTTTCTTAAATTGAGTCTGCTTCTCTCTCTATCCAAATCAGGACTTCATTTTTTCCTTTCAGATGTTCTTCGTGTAAAATACATACTACGAAGTAGGAACTACTTTGTCTTCTGCATTTTTCCTATGCTCAAGCTCCACTTCCTTTGTCAAGCTCGGTATTCCCTAAATTTTTTACCTGCCTGTTGTGTCCCTCAACTGTATTGTCGCCAGGTGGTCACATAACCATGGATGAGTAGTCTAAAGCAGGCATGTGTAGGAATTTGTATGCAGGTTTGGAGTGTCTGCAGGCGGGGCAAGGAGATTTCATCATTGAAATTGAAGTGATTTTTGCATTTATTTACTCTGTTTTTGCATGTCCCTTTTTTTTATGTCATTTTTTGCACTGTCACTTTTGTGTGTTGTGGTTGTTTTTGTTTTGTTTTTCATTATTAAAATGTTAATGACGTAATTCTGTATTTTGGGATCAAGAATCTGGATTCACAAACCTGAAGACCGTAATAGTATATATGGAAACATGTTTTTCTAAATAGTTTTTTATGTGTTGGTTAATCTAATTTGCATGGGAAGCCAATACATTTTCTTAGTGGTGGCAGCTTTTCATAATAGAGTTAAGTGTGGGTGGCGCTAAGCAGGATTTGTTTATCAGTATTTTTGGTGTATTGCAGACAAATAGTGATTTTTAACCCTTCCACCAAGAGATCCAAGTTGCATGCATGCTTGGAGTAGTGTCTTCTCTGACCAGAATATAGGAAAATTTACAAGACGTGCAAAAAGTCCTTTGAAGCAGTGCATCTGAAATATATTCCTTTAAATTTATGCCAGAACGCAATCGTCTGTCCACTAGAGGATTCAATATTTATTTAAAACCCTTATATCCCTGTGATCTCTAGGTCACCAGATTTCATAAATTATTCCACTGAGCTCCACTGTAACGACGCATCCCCTATCTTAGGCTAAAGGTGGTATAGGGGGTACGGGAACTCTGAAGATTGGGAGACATCAGGCTACACGAGATTCTGGTCCCCTTTTCTGATATTTTCATTAAATAGGATTAATTTAGATAATTTTATAAATACTTACCAATTTAAAATTACCTGTCCCTTTCTCCAAATCTAGAGCCTTCTCAGGGCTCTCTGGTACTCACTTGGCTACTTAACATACCTTGGCCAAAAATGAATATCACAATGCTATTTTTATTTTTAAAAATTTCCTGAACCTTGTTCATACAAAGCACAGTGGCCCACTGACCTACATAGAGAAAAAAATGGAGCAGTGAATATCATCAAGAGGGCTAACACATTGCACTTCCAACGTTGAGTTACTCTATAAAATTGTAATGCAGGGCTTGACAAATTCCAGGCAGCAGGTTGCCACAGCGTCTAAGAATTTTGTTCTGGCGACTGGGATTCCAGCCCACACTCATTCCTCAAAGCGGGCCTCCAGCCTGTCCCGTTCCGCTGAGCGGGCCTCCAGCCTGTCCCGTTCCGCTGAACCAGCTGCCTCAGCCATTCCCCTCGCCACCCTTCTGAGTCCAAAAGGTAGGAAACAGGGTGGCTAAAAAATATTGTGTGTGTGCGCGTTTGCACGTGTAACTGTTATGTTGTGTATCTGTAAATCTTTGTGTGGGTATGTGTATCTATTTGAGTATCAAATAATAAATACTTTGTGACTGTGTGAGAGTCTGTGTCTGTCTGTCAGTGTGTGTGTGTGTGACTGAGTTTACATTGAAAAGCCTGCAGGGACAGGCTATAGATAATAAAGCCACTGCATTAAGCTGTAGTAGTTCTGGTGACTATAGTGTCCTTTAAGAATTTTTTTTTTTGTCATTTAAAAAAAGAAAACTGGCTTCTAGATTGAAAGCAAATTTGTCAAGCCCTGTTGTAATGAGATGTTATGTTGTGCCAGCAAGGTTTTCTGTGTTTGGTTCATTGACACATTGGTGTTGGAGATTCTGTGGCAGTAGATGAACATATCTTCATGTGTGATGGGACTGACTCTTTTTAACCCCTTAAGGACTGGACTGTTTTTGCGATGTTGTACATTTGCGACCAGGCCTCTTTTTACACTTTTGTGGTGTTTGTGTTTAGCTGTAATTTTCCGCTCTCTCATTTACGGTTCCTATACAAATTATATATTGATTTTTTTTTTCAGGACAAAAAAGGCTTTCTTTACATACCATTATTTATATAATCTCATGTAATTTAAGTTAAAAAAATATGATGAAGAGAAAAAAATACATGTTTTTTTACTTTTACTTGAAAAATCTTTTACTCCTCTACAAAAGCAATAAGAAAAAACTGCTAAATAGATGCAAAATTGTGTCCTATGTTTTAAAATACCCAGTGTTTACATGCTTTTTTGCAAGTTATAGGGCTATAGGTACAAGTAGGATATTGCGGTTTCAAAAAATAATTTTTTTTCAAATTTATCAATAGTGACGTAACACTATTATCCGTCAAAAATCTCTGAATAACACCCCACATGTATATATATATTTTTTTAAAGTAGACAACCCAGGGTATTCAATATGGGGTATGTCCAGTCTTTTTTTAGTAGCCATCTAGTCGCAAACACTGGCCAAAGTTAGCGTTCATATTTGTTTGTGTGTGGGGGGAAAAAGTAAAAACACTAAATTGAACGCTAATTTTGGCCAGTGTTTGTGACTAAGTGGTTACTAAAAAAGACTGGACATACCACATTTGCAATACCTTGGGTTGTCTTCTTTTGCAAATGGTATGCCATCATGGGGGTAATTCTCATTCCTGGGCTACCATACGCTCTCAAAGGCAACGTAACCAACCTGGCCATTTTCAATGTACATGGGAGGTACTGTTATACTAGAGAGACTTTGCTGAACACAAATATTAGTGTTTCAAAACAGGAAAACGTATCACAACAATTATATCATTAGTAAAAGTGCAGTTTGTGTGTGAAAAATAAGAAAAAAAGTCACTTTCACTGACAATATCATCGATGTGATAGGTTTTACTGTTTTGAATCACTAATATGTGTTTAGCGAAGTCTCCCGAGTAAAACGGTACCCCCCATGTACAGGTTTTAGGGTGTCATAGAAAGTTACAGAGTAAAATACAGTGCTAGCAAATTAAATTCTCTGAACTTTCGGCCTGGGTTGGCAGGCAGGTCCCTCAAATTGCAATTAATAAAATTACTAAATTATGTAAAAATATTACATAAATACGCACGTAGAATTTAAATGTATATGCATATTTATATATTTGAACTCTGCGTGTATATTTATATAATTATTTATGTAATTTTGTATATGGACATATGTATATTTCGTATTATTTTTATATATATATATAATATAATTACAATTTCATTCTAAGTGTATTTTGATATAAATATATATTTTAATATGAAAATAGAATAAAATTTCATATAGATATAATTTAAACATTTTTTTTAAATTTAATTTACTTATTTGTATTTTAATATATATATATATATATATATATATATATATATATATATATATATATATATATATATATATATATATATATATATATATATATATATATATATATATATATATATATATATATATATACAGCAAAAATAGTTCCTGCACTCACGCTGAAATGTCCCTTTGTGACCGGGTGCCAACCATGTATAGCCCAGAGAATACAAAAATAGAAAAAGGTGGTTGCACTCACGGTTTTTGAATTAAAAGTCCAAAGTTTAATGTCACATACTAAAAGCTGAGATCAACGTTTCAGTCCTTCCATGAGGACTTTCATCAGGATCATAAAAACAGACATAGTACAAATAGCATATTTATATACAACATAATTAATTAAATCAAACTATTTTAGGTGAATCAGCTTACCCCCAATGAGTCTTGCTGCCTGATCGGTGTCCCAGTGCCCCGTGTGCGCATGCGTGAATAAGCTCCGCCCCACATAGTGACATCATCTTACATCGACGTGCCCGACCGTAACCATAGCGACGCGGGCATGAAAAACCCGTCGCTATGGGAATAAAGTACAAGTGGATGAAAACATCAAGTTTCAATGATCATAAAGATCAATATATTCAATTGTGTGTAATGTTTATAAACCAGTGAACTAGCGTGTCTGTGATATTGCATCAATAACAGCCATGTCACATTATAAAAGTGTGGCTGAATGGCGTTAACTAGAAAAGTGCTATGTGCAAATAAAGTGCCAGTAAATGATTACTCAGTTACACCTGGTAAAGTGTAGTGATTGGGTTAATATTAAAATGAGTGAATGTTTGGATACAAAGTGATGATTAAGTGCTGATAAAAATTTAAAGTGACTGAGTGCTATTCATGCTACATATAAACTGTGCAGAATTGTATATAATAATAAAAATACTAATTGCTTTCACTAGTATACACACAAAGGATATCAATTTGAGAAATGGAAACCAGAGTACTGAAAATTGATCATAATAGTAACTATAATGATTCCCAAGTACTGGTTAACATAATCTCAAATTGTATCATTAAAAACAATAATGTAACAATATAACAAGCTGGAGTTGATCTGATAAGGCTACAAGAATATTATTGCACTAAGTCACATTATTACATATGCCTAGAAGCAGCAACATATAGGAAAAATTCTTTCACCAAATAAATTTCGTTTATAAGGTCCTCTTGCGGAACGTATTATGTGTAAATAAATATATACCCTAGTTCAATACGGTTACCTTATTGTAGGGTTTTAAGAAGATAGTTGTTACCCAATTATGGATCTACAAAGAAGATTTGTTGGAATAAATATTACAACAGGTGAATTAAAGTTACAGGAAGGAATGAAACGAAATATGTTCATTTAACCCTTTGGGGAATACCGTGTCCAATTCAAAGATCCAAAAAGTCTCTCTGTTCAACAGAAATTTCCCTCGATCCCCCGCTCTGTTTGATGCTGAAACATGTTCAATTGCCACAAATTTTAAAGTGGCCAGTGAGTGTCCCATCTGCAAAAAGTGTTTAGCAACTGGTTTATCCGACACTCCATCCCTATACGCCAATCGGATGCTTGATCGGTGTCCTCTTATCCTTTCGCATAGCGCCGTTTCTGTTTTTCCTATATATACTAGGCCACATGGACACATTAGTTTATAAATAACGTGTGTAGTTCTGCACGTTATAGTACTCTTGATGGGGTATTGTTTGTTCGTGTGTGGGTGAAGAAAACTTTTTGCTGGCGTCATGTGTCCACATGTAACGCACCCAAGGCATCGAACACAACCCCGATTTTGAATAAACGTGTTGTCTGAGTAGCTTAGTATAGGATCTGTGTTTACTAGTAAATCTTTTAAGTTTTTATTTCTTTTATAACAAATAAGCGGTTTTTCACGGAATACTTTGGGAAGAGTGTCGTCCGTTGCCAGAATTCTCCAGTTCTTTCTTATCACAGAGGAAATAGACTGGGTGGATTTGTGGTACGTAGTAGGGAAGACCAATCTTTGAGTTGGTGCTTGTTCTCTAGGTATCCGGGGTTCCTTAGCTACTTCCAATGCTTGGTCTAACGCCGAGCGTTGATATCCTCGTTGTAAAAATTTATTAGTCATCTCTGATAATTGTCTCTCCTTAGTAGTCTCATCAGAGTTATTCCTCATCACCCTTAGATATTGCGCTTTAGGGAGTGATTTTATCAATGATTGTGGATGGGCACTATTTGCATGCAATAGAGTATTTCTATCCGTCTTCTTGGTATAAAGACTATACTCAATCTTGCAATTGCCGATAACTAACTCCACATCCAGATACTGAACTCTCTCGGGACTAATGTGTGCCGTCAGTCTTATAGGCACCGGTAGTTGGTTAAGGCTCTCCACCATCTCAGATGCCTCCATCGCTGTACCTTTCCAGATGATCAAAAGATCATCTATATAGCGATAATATCCTAGGATTGAGTGGTTGTAAGGTGTCAAGATGTGACGCTTTTCATACGAATACATATATGCATTAGCGTACATGGGGGCCATCGCCGCCCCCATTGACGTACCAGACACCTGTAAATACCACGAATTCTCAAAACGAAAATAGTTCTTTTCCAAGGCTAATGTGAGGATTTCCATGACAAACTCAATGGGAGGTCCCTTGTACACTGTTGAGGCTAATAATACCTGGCGCATAGCCTCTATTCCCTCCTCGTGTGGAATCACCGTGTATAAACTACTCACATCCATGGTGATGAGTAGTGGTTGGTGTCCTCCAAAATCAATGTTGCCAATTCTATTGAGTAATGTAGGTGTGTCTTTGATGCAGGTTTCCAATTGTTCTATTGTTTCTTTAAACAAATAGTCAAGCCATTTGGCTAAGGGTTCAATGATTCCATTAATAGCGGATACTATGGGACGGCCTGGGGGATGCTGAGCGTTCTTATGTATCTTTGGGATACTGTAAATGATAGGACTTCGCGGGTTTTGCTGATTGAGAAACTGAAACAGTTCCATGTCAATGAAGCCAGCTCTTAGACCCATGGAAAGTGTGTCATATATCGTATTTTGAAATTCCACTGTAGGGTCGTGATCTAATGGTAGATAAGTATCCATATCCTGTAGTTGGTTTTTGATTTCCCCCGCGTAGTCCACATAATCCATTATAACAATCCCTCCTCCCTTATCCGCAGACCGTATAACAATGGAATGATCCTCTGATAAATTTCTAATAAGCTTTCTCTGGTGTTTCGTGATGTTATGCCTCTTGTATTTGGGCTTGGATAACGTATTGTGTACCTCTTTATTAGTCAGTGACAAGAAGGTCTTGATAGATGATTTATTGGTTATCGGTTGCTGGAATCATATGTCCACAAGTAATACACCCCAGACATCATATGCTTCCCCGTATGTTGTGCTTGACTGTTTTAGAATAACTTTCCACAGGGTCTGTACGTACTAACATGTCCTTAAGTTATTCTAAAACAGTCAAGCACAACATACGGGGAAGCATACGATGTCTGGGGTGTATTACTTGTGGACATATGATTCCAGCAAAGAAGGGCTCATACACCGATGGGTCAAATTTTAGTGGCTTTATTATCACTTTAATGAAGTGTCACTTACCTAGGTTCACTAGGTGTTCGTGTGGTTAGGGATATATGATACACAATGAGCCCATCACAAGATTTGTTTTAAAATAAGTTTATTGTTGTTCTGTTGTCTCTGACCCTGAGGAAGGTCCCGATCGGGGACCGAAACGTTGGTCATCATTTTTAAATATTTTCAATAAAATCTTTGACTTTAAGTCCGGAGAGCAGCCTTTTCTTGTGGAAGAGATATATATATATATATATATATATATATATATATATATATATATATATATATATATATATATATATATATATATATATATGTGTGTAATTTAATTATTATATATATATCATACTAAGTGTATTATATTAATATAAAAATACACTTAGTATGACATTTTTATATATATACCAGTAGAGAGCACTCAGGAGTCTTTCAATTTGTAAAGACTCCTGTGTGCTCTCTACTGGTATTGTATACAATTTGGTTGGAGACAGCACGGGAGCATTGAGTGCTGGGAATATATATATGTGTGTATATGTATGTATATATATATATATATATTCTATCCTTTATTTTATTTTTTGATTTTACACTAGCAGGGAGAATGCCTGTCAGCTCTGTTGAGCGATCACATGGCCCCAGGGGTCCTAATCCGCTGTGGGGAGACTGTCAGTCTGCCCACACCGGGAGCACCGCCAATCGCCGCCGGGGTAACGACGGCGATCGGGTAAGTACATTGGACCGTTAGGACGGTTCAGGACCGTCATCGGTCGGCAATGGAAAAATGCAGATGACGGTCCTGAACTGTCCTCGGTCCTGAAGTGGTTGAAGACCCTTCAGGAGGCTATTTTTCAGCTGATTTCAATATGAATTGCAGTTTCTATACACTTAACCCAGGCATGGCTTTACTTAAAGGGACACTCCAGGCACCCAGACCACTTCTGCCCATTGGAGTGGTCTGGGTGCCATCTCCCACTACCCTTAACCCTGCAAGTGTAATTATTGCAGTTTTTTTTAAAACGGAAATAATTACCTTGCAGGGTTAACTCCTCCTCTAGTGGCTGTCTACTAGACAGCCACTAGAGGGCACTTCCTGCTCTATAGCACAGAAAACCTGTGCTAGAGCGTCACTGGATGTCCTCGCGCTGTGCATTAGGTCTCCCCTGCTGGTGGGCGGGATCAGTCTTGCCCACCGGCCGACGTAATGACTGGGAGGAGCAGCGGCAAGAAGAAACCACCGCCGGGGATTGGGAGGTGGGAGGGTGAGGGGACCTGCAGTGCCAGGAAAACGGATTGTTTTCCTGGCACTGGAGTTTTCCTTTAATATTTTCTGCTCTACTATTCCAAAACCATTAAAACCTACTGTGTTATTTATTTGTCGCCACTGAAAAGCAATAGTCAAACACTGACATAGTGTCTCTATTCCCTTCCTAGCCCAATCCATGGAGATTTTAACAATCCATCGAATGCAGGAAAAAATATTTAATAGAAGGAACATTATATAAATTCCATGAGTTTTGAGGCACCCTATCTCTGCCTTCTGATTGAATCACATGCTCTGTACCTGTGTTGCCTTGGTTCTCAACCTCTTGTTGCAGCACATAATATTCAGTGTATTATTTAATTTATTATGTTTTGGATGATGTTTTTCCTGCCATGTTTGCATAACTCTCTATGTGGCAAAATGTATGAATGCTAAAACCTCCCTAACTTATAACTCTCTTATCACACAATACCTGCATCAATGACTACTTTCATTGCCTAACTACTGATAAACTTGTCACTCTCTTCTGGTGTCACATCAACATTATCTGTTTGTACATCGATGCTTGAAAAGTCTCAAACTTTCTTCAAGTGGGGAGAAATTTTTTTTTTCACTGGCTAGTGATAATTTATCCCTGGGGAGTGTGACCCCCAAGCTTGCAGTGGCAAGTAACTTTTAAAGCCTGGCTAGTACTTGGCATTGGACTTTAAATTCTAAACCTTGTTTATATTACTACATGATGATTTGTCTGCAGCATGAAGTTCCATGTTCCAGGCATCGTACTTATTACAAGAGAAAGTGACTTTAAAAAAAATAAAAAAATGTTATAGCATTATTCATTTTTTCCTTACAGGATATTGAGCAGCTGGATCCCCGAGGAAGGACTGCACTCCACCTTGCTGTTTCTTTGGGACATCTTGAATCAGCCAGAGTTCTTCTTAGACACAAGGCGGATGTCACCAAAGAGAACCGCGAGGGCTGGACAGGTTAGCTACTTCATTTACCACATGATCAAAATGTGCTAAGTAGTGAAAAACCTATTGTCATCTTTGACCTGCACAACTCCCAGTAAAAGTAAAATCGTTATGAATGTTAACATGGATGCATTTACTTTTAATGGGAACACTGCTTTTTTATTTCCGTCCTGCAACAACGTAAAGGGACACTATAGTCACCAGAACAACTACAGCTTAATGTAGTTGTTCTGGTGAGCATAGACTGTCTCTGCAGGCTTTTTAATGTAAATTCTGCCTTTTTATAAGAAAAAGGAGAAAAGGCAGTGTTTACATTGTTTTCTAGGTACACCTCCAGTGGCAGTCACTCAGATCAGGGCCGTCTATAATATGATTAGGACCCTGGGCAATGCATTTTCTTGGGCCCCCTGGGCCCTGCTCCTTCCCCCCCCAACCCCTTAATTACACCCAACCCGCAATCACACTGACAGACATACTGACACATACGCACACAGACAGACAGACATATTAAAACATTCTCAGATACATACTGACATACACATACACTGACACACAAATATATACTGGCAGACATATTGACACACACACAGACACACATTCATGAATACACAGACACATAAACTGACAAATATACTGACACACACAGACGCATACACTGACAGACCTATTGACACACACAAACAGGCATTCTGACACAGACACACAGGCAGACATACTGACAAACACACAGACATACTGACACACAGACAGACAGACATACTGACACACACAGGCAGACATACTGACACACACACAGGCATACTGACAAACACACACACAGGCATACTGACATATACAGACACACACAGACATACTGACACACACAGACATACTGACATACACACACACACACAGACATACACACACACACAGACATAGACACACACACAGACTTAGTGACACACAGACATACTGACATACACACACACACAGACAGACATAGATACACAGAGACATACTGACACTCACAGACCTACATACACACATACTGACATGCACACAGACAGACATAGACACACACAGACATACATTTAGCCACCCTCCAGTTTCCTACCTTTTTCTGGAGGGTGGTTTCCCTGGTCCAGTGGCAGGCTGAGGCAGATGGGAGTTCTCCTCTGGAACTCCCCTCCTCCCTCCTTCCGCGCGGTTGTGATCACCGGTGAGAGGAAGTGACGCACGGCACTCACTTCCTCCCAGCCGGCTGCCGAACAGGAAGGGGCCCGGTCGCGCTGTTTAAGTGTCACAGCGCCCGATCGGGCCCCTTCTGCCACATGCCCACCGGGTGGCCCTTAGTGCATGGGCCACCCGGGGGCCCTCTTTAGCGTGTGGCTCTGTGTAGCCGCCCCGCCGGGTCCAAGGGGAGCTGCTCAAATCGCGGGGCCCACTAGGCAGCTGCTCTGGGGCCCCTCAGGAGCAACTGGGCCCGGGGCAGCTGCCCCGTTTGCCCCGCGTTAAAGACGGCCCTGACTCAGATGGCTACTAGAGGTGCTTCCGGTGTCAGTGCTACGCAACATGCAACACAGTAAATTTCTTAAAGTGATGCTTTATATTACTTTGCTTATTCAGCCCTAGCCACACCTCTCCTGGCTGAGACAAAAATATTAGCCAGTTTCTCATAGTGTGTTTAATTTAGAATTTCTTATCTCATGCTTTGTTGTTAGCCTGTAAAAGCCTCCTTCAAGTAACAGAACAAGAGATGAGAACATCTAATGTAAATACACTTGGCTGTAAAATCTGATTAAAAATGTAACCAATTTTTTTTTTTTTGTGTGTGTTTTGGGCAGATGTAACTTACTTTAAAAGTTTTTATCTCCTGCTCTGTAAATTGAACTTTAATTACATACAGGAGGCTCCTGCAGGGTCTACCAAGCTATTAACAGAGCAGGCGAGACGAAATTCTAAATTAAACAGAATTTGCAATAAAGTGCAAACATTAGACTTTACAGGAATTGTTTAGGAAGGCTGTGTAAGTCACATGCAGGGAAGTGTGACTAGGGCTGCATAAACAGAAACAATGTGCTTTAACTCCTAAATGGCAGATAACTGAGCAGCGAGCCTGCAGGGGCGTGATCTATACACCAAAACTGCTTCATTAAGCAAAGTTGTTAATTTGGTGACTATAGTGTTCCTTTAAACAACAAAACTTTCTGTTGGTGCACAGCTAAATGAAACCTAATCATGTATATACATATTAGACGTGCAATTTACAACCATTATGCTGCATTTATTCTCACTTCTAGTATTCAAGCCAACAACAATTTTAAGTGACAAAATGTTCTACTTGTGTAAATTACATACCTACAGCTGTATGGTCTCCGCAAGAATTTTCAAAAATATTCCACTGTGTGTTTTACAGTTTTACATGAAGCCGTGAGCACTGGAGATCCAGAGTTAGTACAGATGGTCCTACAGTATCGTGAGTTCCACAAAGCATCTACAGCCCTGGGAGGTGTACCTGAGCTTCTTACAAAAACCCTACAGGTGATTTCACTTTCTTCCTAATCCGGAGTAGCGTACTGATGATTTAAATTATATATAAACATAGTGAAATGGAGCTAGATAAATGAGTAAACCCAGTGCAGCTGTACAACATCCGTGAATTAAACGAGTAAACTACTCACAATCAAAACAAATACCAAATACAAGGTGCAAGCATACTGTGAAGCACATATACAGTTGTAAGAAAAATGATTGAATCCCCATTGAAAATCTGATTTATTGTCAAAATCTACAGACTTTCAGCTGTTTGCCGTGAGTTAATCAAACAAATACAATTGCAATAATGTAACACAACAAATGTTTCAAGTTGTCTCCTCAAATTCAACTTAAAATGCAACTTTTAATATAATCTTATAAATAAGCCACAGACGTTTTGGGATTCTGTTCTGTGGAATAATTATACAAAATTGGAACCTTTCTGCCCAGTTGATCAGCCGTATGTCTGGCGGAAGAGGAATGAAGCATTAACTGAAAAGAACGCTCTGCCTACAGTTAAGCATTGTGGTGGCTTGGTGACCCTTTGGGGCTGCTTTGCATCCTCTGGCACTGGAAACTTGCAGCGTGTGGAATGCCATATAGATTCATTGAAGTATCAGGAAATTCTAGGAGAAAATGTCTCGCTGTCTGAGGAAGCTGAAGCTTGGGCGTCATTGGACCTTCCAACAAGACCATGATCCCAAGCATACCTCAAATTCCACCAAGGCTTGGTTGCAGAATAAATCCTGGAAAATTCTACAGTGGAAATCAGTCACCTGACTTGAACCCCTTTGAAAATCTCTGGTGGGATTTGTAGAAGGCGGTTGCAGCACACAAATCCAATAATATTACTAAACTGGAGGCAATTGCTCATGAACAATTGGCTAAGATTCCTCCAGAATGCTGCCAGATGCTGGTGTCTGGCAATGCATCTCATTTGCAGAAGGTCATAACAGCAAAAGGGCGCTCTACTAAGTACTAAAGATGATTGTCATGAAGGGGTTACATTATGAGACTGTAGTCATAAAAGCTGCATTTTCAGTTGCATTTGGGGAAACCACTTGAAGCATTCGTTGTGTTGCGCTATTTCAATTCCTTTTGTTTAATTAGTTCATTGCGAACAGCTGAAAGTCTGTACATTTTGACAATAAACCTGATTTTCAATGGGATTGAATAATTGTGATTACAACTGCAAATACAATACAGTAGAACATTTATTTCTGAATTTAAATTGTCAGAAAGGCTATTAGCTCTGTGTGAATAATAAATAATAGTACAATCATAGTGTAGTGTATAACCTCAGTAGTACACATGAGGTTATGTATTACACTATGATTCCATTCCTATTTATTATTCACACAGAACCAAGAGCCTTTCTGCGTTAATTCAGCAGGAGACGTCCTGCACTATTGTATAGAAGTATACTGTATGCTTCACTGTACTCTAGCAGCTTGTATTTGGTTACAACTTAAAGGACCACCATAGTGCCAGGAAAACAAACTTGTCTTCCTGGCTCTAAAGGGTCTTTGGGGCCCCCCCCCCCCCAAGGCCCCATTCCTGCCGGGCTCTAGGGGGAGGAAGGGGTTAATCCCTCGGCGCTGGGGACTCTTCTCCTCCTTCCGACGTCATCGGCTGAATGCGCATGCGAAAATCACAGTGAGAAGCGCGGAAGCGCCTCTAGTTGCTGTCAATGAGACAGCCATTAGAGGCTGACTTAACCCTAATGTAAACATAGCAGTTTCTCTGATATAGATATATATATTCCTTCTTCAAAAAAACTTGTATCTTAGCTTTAAACCCTTTCCTCCTGATTACATGCTGATGCAGTGCGACACCTAAAATGAGACATGCTCCTGTTCCTTTATGTGAATAATCTTTCATAGTTTTCATTCTGAATTATAATCATTGCATTAGTCTGACTCTCATAGCACAACTTAGAACATTAAAATTGAGTTCTGTGAACAATGGTCTGCATTACGTGGTTCCACTTTATGGACTTCATTGAACCAGTGATGCAAAAAAAAATCTTATGAACCAAAGAACAGCAAGGCATTTAGGTTTCTTTACTAAATAGTCAATAATTCTATGTAAATTGAAAACTTGAGGCCAAAATAGTAAAACTGAAAACCTTACAGACTAGGAGAATTTTTCTAATTTAAATACTTTGCTCTAAAATTTGAGATTCAGTTTGAATCTCTGCTATAGGGAATAAACTAATTGCTTTGTGTTTGTGTTTTTTTTTGTTTTTTGTATCTCCCATTTTATTTATATTGCACTTTTCACATGTTAAAAAAAAAAAAAAAAAGTGGAACTTTGACTTCTGATATTCGTGATTATTTCAAATTCTTCAGTTTAATCTATTTTATTTCTTTTCCCCTGATTTATGTTTATAACTCCTACACCTTTTGAATTATATTAACTGTTTGAACATTGCCAGCAAATCAGTATTTCAGCTCAGGAAACTAAAAGCAATCAAGAAAAGGTTTTAGTTTTTTTGTTTTCTCATTTTTTATTTTTTTTTATTTGTCGTTGATGCATCTGATTCTGTTATTTCTTTTTATTTTTGCGGTAGTTTGAATCCGTATTTCTGCAAGTGAACGACCCATGGCTTCCCTCCATTCAATCTTTGCTTCTGTTTGTGCTTTAAGTGCCAAATCATGGTTGAATGAAAGCATTGAATTTTCCTGGGGGAAAAAAAGATAGAGCTTTAGCAATCACAATGCAGGTTAATGTAGTATTTTATATTGTTCTGAACAATTTATCAAGCAAGAATGAAGCAAAATATACAGTATATCGACATATTAAGTGACTTTCATAATGTTGAAATGGTCACTACAGCTTTAAATCTTGAACAAAGCCAGATCTGTGGACTTCACAGTTTACTGCAAGCATCTGGCAGGCCCAAAGGCAATGACCTTGTTTAGTTCAACTTCCTTTCAATTCTGCTAGGGGAATAATCTAATTTTAAATGAATGTACGGTCCATGACCCATTCATTGTTTATTAATTATAATAGAAGCTTGCTGAAATCTGACTCTTAAAGAGGAAATTTCAACACTGTGGTGGTTGCATGCATGTATGTGTGTGTGTGTTTTTTCCTTTTGTTAAATTAATGTAAAATTTTCTCCTCTGCCATTAGTGATCTCCGATTTCAAAACACATTGTGTGTATTGGTCTATCTATTGTGCTCGAAGTAAAGCCTTTTAAAATCTTATCAGACTAGTGATGTAAACAAAAAGGTTGAGGTCTAATCTGTTGCAGTTTCTTTTGATGTTTGTAAATTGGTCAACTCCTGACTCTATGACCATTGTCTGAAACCTCACCTCCATTTTTAAAAAAAAATATATTTATTAATATAGGTAATGCTTTGCAGCTTCTATTGTGAGGTCATAGGAAGTGACTCACCCATTGCTCCTATTATGTTTCCATGACCCGAGCTGAGCATATTCCATAAATCCTAGTTTAAAAACCTACAGTAAAAAGCCAGTTACAAAAATGGCCTGTAATGTGTTTATTGCAGTTTCCTGTTTTTCACATAATGCTATTTTACAATCCAGTGTTTCCTTCATTAGAGAAACCCTAGGAGTTGATGTGATGCATAAAAGGAGACATTTATATTAGACTGTCTCTGAAAAGAAAAGTAAAACAAACAAACACATATTCCGGACTATCTTTTTGGTTTATAGGTTCTTGTGGGTTTTTTGTTCAATTTATAGACATACATTGAACAAAAAAAACCTATAAACCAAAAGTATAGTCTGGAATATTTGTTTGTTTTTTTTCTTTTCATTTACAGACCTCTTAAAGTTTTGTGAACAGATCTGGATGCTCCAGTCTTTTCAGCCGATGATCACACATGGGTGCAGCACAATGTGATGTAGGGGCTGGTGCAGTATATGTTTTACCAGTCACTTCAGTTATAAGCCAACTTGTGATCATAAGTTATGGTGCGTGGAATGTCTCTCCATCACAACCCAATTCACTCCATTGATAATACTTTTAAAGGGAAAGACTAGGAGGTACATATACATTTTGCTATAAGTGACTCCTAAACCTTTTGTTTTTGTTATATAATAGTCCCCATTGCGTGGAAGAGATACATCATGTTAAGGCTTACCTGGACAGCTGCCCACAATACATTTTGCTATTTTAGCAACACTCCCTCTTCCTTTAGACAGGAGAGGCCTTTGACTTTGGGAAGAGTCTAATGAAGGTGTTTTGTTGAACTTGTTTATTTTTGCAATTTAAGAATTGATCACTAAGTCAACCTTTGAAGGTAAGGGGTGGATTACTAATTTAGGTCCCTGCCAAAACAAAGTTAAGAGCCATTGCCTTAAACAAATGTATTCTAACATATTGCATATTAAAATTTTAGACTAAACCAGTCATACTGAAAAAATTACCCTCAATCACCAACCCAATTCAATCTATTGACCATCTTTCTTTTTAAACGGCTAGCTTTTGTTTTGTACGTTTAACTCTTTTAGTGATACAGAGTTAAAGGGACACTATAGTTACCCAGACCACTTAATCTCATTTAAGTGGTCTTGGTGCGCTTTCTCTGTTCCTTTAACCCTGCAATCTAAAACATAGTAATTTCAGAGAAACTGCAATGTTTTATTTTATTGCAGGGTTAAGCCTGCCTCTAGTGTCTGCTTCCCTCCTGCTGTTGCATGAGGATGTCCAGTATCTTCAAATCCCCCATAGGAAAACACTGGAACAATTGCCACGTGTTAGGTTCCCCCTATTAATAGATTGGGCAATGGCAATAGCCAGGGAGCAGGTTAACTCGCTGGCAGTCACTGCCTGTCACCACGTTGGATTTTGGGCTCAGAGCAAGCAGGATCTGGGACGCTGGAAGTCCTGCTTTAATCTTATTAAAGGACCACTCTAGGCACCCAGACCACTTCAGCTTAATGAAGTGGTCTGGGTGCCAGGTCCAGCTAGGGTTAACCCATTTTTTTTTTTATAAACATAGCAGTTTCAGAGAAACTGCTATGTTTATGAATGGGTTAAGCCTTTCCCCTAATCCTCTAGTGGCTGTCTCATTGACAGCCATTAGAGGCGCTTGCATGCTTCTCACTGTGATTTTCGTGCTTCTCGCTGGAAAAAGGTAAGTTTAAACCCCTTTCCCCTTTCCAGAGCAGGGCGGGAGGGGATCCCTGAGGGTGGGGGCACCCTCAGGGCACTATAGTGCCAGAAAAACGAGTATGTTTTCCTGGCACTATAGTGGTTATTAAGGCATGCACCGATGGGGTATAATAATAAATAAATATCAGAAAAAGTATATACCGGTAGTTTAATTTAAAAAAAATAAATAAAAAATTATTGTAACAAACACTGGTGAGGAGCTGCCCCAATAGGCTAGCCTTCACAGTTCCCAATAATACACTTAAGTAAATAGCTCTGTGATTGATACTTTAGTTTCCTTTATAGTCCTCTTTCACAGAGAATTGGATTTAAACTATTTTTCTTAAATATGATCCAAATAAAGTTTTTTCCTCTGTCTCATAACTTTTGAAAGCTAAATAGATGTGTTTTTTTTTTCTTCTTTTTAATTAGGCATCTGATTTTTATGTGGAAATGAAGTGGGAGTTTACAAGTTGGGGTAAGTGTAAGATTATATATATTTCTGGTTTTATTGCTCTACTCTTTCATCCCATATGCGAGAGTGAGGACTGTAATATGGGACGGGAGGTTCCCAGTCGTCTGGCAAATCAAATATCCATTTTAAGGTCAGGCCTTCATGTACAGTATCGCCTAAGCATTCAAGTACTATGCTATGAGATTCCAAAATCTATAACCTTGGAAGCTTTATGGGGGGGGGGAAATGCCATAAATAAAATAGGCAAAAAGGAGAAGCCAAAAAATTCATAGATGTGTATTTTTGTATGCTTGATTTAATGTTATCACATTTTATGTTGGCTATTTTTTTTTTTCTTTTTCATCCAGTACCACTGCTGTCCAGGGTGTGCCCCAGTGATGTCTGTCGAATATGGAAAAGTGGTGCCAAACTTCGAGTTGATGCCACCTTGCTGGGATTTGAAAACATGAGCTGGATTCGAGGGAAGCATAGCTTTATATTTAAAGAAGAAGGTATAGTGCATTTCTTTTCAATGCCTATTATTTGTCCTCAGGATCTATTGTACTGGTTGAATTAAAGGATATGTAGACTGAGAGCAACTGGGGGGAAAACAAAACATCTATTTAATTTGTTGTTGTGTTTTGGGTTTAGTTTTATATATATATATATATATATTGTTATGGTATCCTACAGTTTCTGTAGGAAACTGTACTTGCTTGGTATGTTTAAACGCACAGCTGAAAGTGCTTGCAAAACATACATAAATACAGCAAGAAGCTCTTTTAAAACACATGTGCAATAGTTTCCTATGGGAAAGTATCGGATTGTCAGCTATGGAGGCAGGGCCAGCCGCAGCGAGGCAAGCACGGCGTGGGGGGAAAAGGCGAGTAAAAACACATATCCCATGCAATCAGAGGGGGGCCGGTAACCTAAACAGACATACTCACTGACAGATTGAACACACACACAAACAAACACTCACTGACAGACACACATTTTCTCATACACTCAAACATAGAAACATGGAATGTGAAGGCAGATAAGAACCATTCGGCCCATCTAGTCTGCCCAATTTTCTAAATACTTGCTTAAACTCCTCAAAAAATTTTTTTTTTCTATTTTAATTTATGTCCACTCAGTCGTCTTACCTTTGGAAGAGTTAGAATGGATCCTTTCCCTGGGGCCCAGTGGGGCTTGGGCAATCTTCAACCTCGCGGTTTAGTGATGACTGGTTCGGAGTGACGTCATATTCCGGCTCCCGTTATAACAGCAGATCACGCGGGGGAGCAGAGCTAGAGCTGCATGTCGATTTCTGCTCTCTCGCTGTCAGTCTCCATGCTCTTGAGGGCTGACAAACAGCCACCGCCTGGAATTTGTCGACCCCTGCATTATATGATCACAGAAACTTGAAAAGATACCATAAAATTATTTTAAAGTGGCAGTGCATTAAACGTCTGTGTAGCTATTATCTAACCTATTATCAGTAGTCATTACAATGTATTTCTAGTTGATATGTTATAGACCTGCTTATGACATTGACAGAGCAACAAACAACCACAAAACAGCTTTTCTTAACTTGTTTTTAACATGACACATTATATACATGACAGCTTGATTACTCAGTTGTAGAATTGTTCAGTGGCCTGTCCTAATAATGTAATTTAATAATGGAGATTAAGACAATGTGTGTACGTCAATCAGTACCATCCACTGACCATAAAATTGTTTTGAGATGTGCATTTTTGTTCCTGACTTGTTGTCTTTCGTACTCCACTTTAACCAATGAGAGGCAAAGATTATTTCCATTCATGTGTAAAAATTAAGAATCTGGTAGTTACCTGTTTTCCAATTTCATAGATAACTGGGCAGAGTTGATGGAGATCAATCATGATGACAAAACTGTCACCAAAGAAAGGTTTGACATCTCACAGGAGATTGAGGGCATCACTCTGGATTCAATGCAGCCAGCAGAAAGAGAAGTCAGCAAGCGACTTACCTCTCCTGTTATTAATACCTCGCTAGATACAGCAACCATTGCATTTGAAAGGTAAATGGAAATAGGTAAATAGAATACAAACCTGCTATGAGTGATTTTGCTGACTTCCTCATTGAATAGAATACATGTTTATTTGTTGCAAATGGTTTTTTTCATGTTTTGTGATAGTAAAGGAACATTAGAGCATTAGGAATATTAACCTGTATATTGTTTTAGTAACTATTTAGATTATTTAGCAGCCCTGTGGGCATTGAAAAAGCTTTTACTTAACTTTAGTCCCCTGGCACACCGGTTTCCGTGAAGCCCCACCTACCAGACTGAGACTGTTAATCCAGATTGCACAATGCCAATCAGCATCTCGTTGTATAGAGTTAAAGCATCTCTATCGGGAGCGGTTTGCATCTCTATGCAGATCGTGGAGACTAAACAAAGATCCTGCAATTTTTGCATGGACAAATCCAGGATATCGGAGTGAAAGTAAGTAGAAGTGGCAGTCTTTACACTGCTCAGGCGGCAGGGACAGACTCTAGTAACCAGAACAACTATATAAAAGGGAAACTATAGTGCAGCGGAAAAGAGGCTAAAAAAAAAAAAAAAACCTTCTGACACTTAGCTGGGTCCAGCAGCGATGTCCATGCCCGCTCTTCACTCACTGACGTCATCTGGCAGGGGAGACCTAACATGCATGCGCAGCAATGGCCATGCTCGCATTAAAGGACCACTATAGTGCCAGGAAAACACTCAGGGTCCCCCTCCCACCCGGCTCTGGAAGGGGTAAAGGGGTTAAAACTTACCTTTTTCCAGCGCTGGGCGGGGAGCTCTCTGCCTCCGTTCCTCCTCCTGGGCTGAATGCGCACGCGCGGCAAGAGCTGCGCACGCATTCAGCCCGTCGCATAGGAAAGCATTTACAATGCTTTCCTATGGACGCTTGCGTGCTCTCACTGTGAAAATCACAGTGAGAAGCACGCAAGCGCCTCTAGTGGCTGTCAATGAGACAGCCACTAGAGGAAATAGAGGAAGGCTTAACCCATTAATAAACATAGCAGTTTCTCTGAAACTGCTATGTTTATTAAAAAATGGGTTAACCCTAGCAGGACCTGGCACCCAGACCACTTCATTAAGCTGAAGTGGTCTTGGTGCCTAGAGTGGTCCTTTAAGATTTCCCCGTAGGAAAGCATTATTTAGTTCGCTTTTAAGCCTTCTAATTGTAAGAGGCAGTGTGTAAATATTTGATTTTGTGGGTGGGGGGAGTAACTAAGAGGTGCCCTGGTGTCCCCCATTGTAAGTAAGTTGTTTTCAAACCGTTTTTCTTACCTGGGGTATGCCAGGTGCTGCACCTTGCATCCACTACTGCCTAGCTTTCAAAGCTAAGCTCAGCAGTGCAATGATAAGCTCATTGGCTGGGAGTGATTGGCTGATGCTTCCAGCCAATGAGCTAGCTCTTTCAGGAGAGGAAACAGAATATCCTGCGTAGAAGCTTCCCGCTCTCTCTAGGACGTAGTAGAGGTGGAAAATGGCGTCCAACAGTCCCCAGGTAAGAATTCAAACAGTTCTAAAACTATACAGCTGTCTGTAGTGGTTATAGTGATTGGAGTGTGAAGGCTGTCTGTATTGTAATACTGATATTGCAATCTTGGTACCTTCTGTGTAAGAACTAACAAAGTAGTGCTCTGGGATGTCAAAATAGCATTCACTGTTACAGTGCATCACTTCACACAACATTCTGTGTTTTCAGAACAAAGGCTGGGTTCTGGGGATGGAGGACGGATAAAGCAGAAACCGTGAATGGATATGAAGCAAAGGTAATGAAACCAGTGACTGATAAGTCTTGGAGGGTGACCTGCTTGTTTGTATGTTCAAAGTTATAAATTTTTAAGTGGATTGCTTTCATTATTTTTTTTTGAACACACTTTTTTATTTTTTATTTTGAAAGGTGTATTCAGCCAACAATGTTAACGTTGTGACAAAAACACGGACAGAACATTTGACAGAAGAAGAAAAGTCTCGTTATAAAGGTAAAAATTATTCATATTTTGCTATTTTCTTGTGTATAATATCATGCTTCCTTGTATGTGTTTTCATTTCCTTTGCGGTCTATTAACTGTTGCTAAAATTAGGACCTTGTTATGGTTATACAGAACATACAGATTTAGATGTTTATGGCTCAGCCTCATTGTGTGACATAAGAAATATAATGGGATAGCATCATGATTTTGCTACAGATATTGCTTTAGTTCAAATCATGGAGAACCCGTACTTTTAAGAAAGCCATTACCTTAGTAGTTGGTAAAAATGCATCATATGGAATATCTGTGTGCAAGAGAGGACTGAGACTAAGGGAAGATAGTACATGGGAGCTATAGCATGTGTACTTTCCATTTACTGACAAGTGTTTCCATGCCTTGTGTGTATCCTCAGCTGATAGAAACTTTTTGGAGTCCTTGTTGGGAACAGTGGAACACCAGTTCGGAGCTCAGGGGGTGAGTTTCTGCATTGCTTTAGGATTGTGAAAATGTTGATAACATTGAAATATTTGAGTGTGGTTTTAGTAACCTGCCACAGGACTCTTAATAACTTCCATCCAGATTGATTGAAACTGATATTGCTAATGTGGGAGTGTAAATTCTGCGTTATCATTGTGGCTGAGAAGGGGGTGATCTTAGTGCTGGGCAGTACCCTGGATTTGATCAAACAGCAAAGTGATTTGAGAAAAAGTGAGACCCAGACATTATTTGGGCTTTAACTACTACCAAGTCCCTTCTGTTATTCATTGTGTTCATAAAAATAGCAGTGAAGAGTATATGATTGTGTTTTTTTTTTGTTTTGTTTTTCTCAATTCTTTATTTTTGCGGTGCATAAGTGTATTACAGACAGGCAAGAGGTGCCCCAAAATTTTAATAACAAGTAAAAACAATCTATTGTATAAGTAGATGTAGGATAAATTTAAGCTGGGTCAATGCGTTGACTATGCTATTTACGTTTCATGTAATGCTGATGCATACCATCTATTATGGAGATAGGCTATGGCGTTTAGATTACATGCATTGGCTAGCATAAGTAGTGAGCTTTATGTTTCAAAATAACATTTTATTTGGGTCTGTCCATCACTTTGGAAATTTAGTCACCGTTGGTGGCTGGATTATTTAAGCTGTCCCAGTGAGAGTGTGTTGTTGCCATGTCGGTCCCAGGATCACACACGTAGGGGGAATCCCCTCTCTATCCCACACCAGTTCTGAGTATTCTGCACAGCAGGGGGCGAGTGATCAGCAGGGCAAGCATCAGGGAAAAGTCCATCACTGCTGTACCTTGGTGTCCTTGCTTTGGTCTCCCAGGCTGCAGCCTCGGTATATTGTACTTGCCTCTGGTATTTCTTGCATGGTTGGTGTCAACCCCGATGGAGCGCTTGGTGTCTCCCGCATGTGTTCTTTGCCCCCTAGGTCGTCCAGGTTTGGGCAGGGTGGGGGGTGAGCACTGGGTCGGCTTTCTGTGCTGTGTACCAGGCACAAGTTTCTCAGATGGGGCGAACGTTGTGCGGCGCTCCAACTCCTCATAGCAGCCGCCATCTTTTGAGCTTGTGAGTCGCTTGGGCAACTTGATGCTGTCTTGGGCTGTGGGTGGGTGTTTCTCCGCCTTTCGGTGTTGCAAGGTTGGAGGACAGGAGCTGCTTTGCCGTCTGTGTTCACGGGGAGGGAGCAGGTCGACCTCCCGCCGCCTGCGCACATGGCGCCCGCCATCTTGAGTACCTCACTCTGTCTGAGCCATCGGGTGAGGACCAGGATCACCCCCTGGTTAGGGGGAGTGGGGAACAGGGCCAGGTCCGTCTGGATTTGTGCCCCTGGACGGGGTCCGGGATGCAGGGTAGCGGGACGGCCACTGTCCGCCCCACTCATTGCCGGAGTAGGCCTCATGTTTTGTTCGAGATTTTCTCCTCCAGGGGACTGAAGCTCGGTGAGCCAGCCTCTCCCTGGATCCAGTAGCCCCTTTGTTCCAGGCAACCTCGCTGGCGGTCAGTTTTAACGCGGAAAATCGTGTTTTTGTTAGGTTTCATTGGTTTAATCGCAGGAGCTGCTCTTACTTGCGACCGTCCATCTTGGCAGTCCGGCCCCGCCCCCAATTGTGTGTTTTTATGTATGAATTTAAAACTGTCTAAATGTTGTGTTAATAAAGGCAGCCAGTAGTATGAGTGGGGAAAAAATGGTTGTAACACCGTTAAAGGAACACTGCACTGCCTAAATATAAAATAAATAAAATTAACTGTTTAATAGATATACCCCAAGTGAAAACATGCATTCTGTTATGTATTTTATCATTTGGGTAGAACTAAAATCTCTTGCAAAACATACATTTCTCTTGCCTGCAGCCTTTGCAAGCCCTCCTCTTTTAACCCCTTAAGGACGGAGCCAAATGTACACGTTGTAAACAAAACCTGGCATTTGCGCTACATGTCTGTCCAACCGTAATTCACCTCTTTCATAGTAAATGCACCCACCCTTATCATATATCATTTTATTCAGGGGAAACAGGGCTTTCATTTAATATCAAATATTTAGCTATGAAACATAATTTAATATGAAAAAAAATGGGAGAAAATAAGATTTTTTTTATTTTTTTAGTTCTACATGACATTTTAACTGTCAATGTCATAATACTGTTTGCTTTTACTGCAATAAAATACACATATTTGTATTCAGCAAAGTCTCACGTGTAAACAGTACCCCCTATGTACAGGTTTTATGGCGTTTTGGGAAGTTACAGGGTCAAATATAGCACGTTACATTTGAAATTGAAATTCGCCAGATTGGTTACGTTGCCTTTGGGACTGTATAGTAGCCCAGGAATAAAATTTACACCCATAATGGCATACCATTTGCAATAGTAGACCCAAGGTATTGCAAATGGGGTATGTCCAGTCTTTTTTAGTAGCCATTTGGTCACAAACACTGGCCAAAGTTAGCGTTAGTATTTGTTTGTGTGTGAAAAATGCCAAAAAATGCCAATTTTGGCCAGTGTTTGTGACTAAGTGGCTACTAAAAAAGACTGGACATACCCCGTTTGCAATACCTTGGGTTGTCTTCTTTCGAAAATGGTATGCCATCATAGGGGTAATTTTCATTCTTGGGCTACCATAGGGTCTCAAAGGCAACCTAACCAATCTGGTGAATTTTAACTTTCACTTTTACTGCCGTTTTGAAACACTAATATTTGTGTTCAGCGAAGTCTCCCAAGTAGAAGAGTACCCCCCATGTACAGGTTTTATGGTGTCTTGGAAAGTTATAGGGTTAAATATAATGCTAGCAAATTAAATTCCCTTTACTTTCGGCATGGGTTGTCAGGCAGGTCCCGCTAATTGTAATTAATTAAGATACCTAATTATGTAAAAATATGACATAAATATATATGTAGAATTAATATATGTGTGTGTGTGTGTATATATATGTGTGTATGTGTATATATATATGTGTATATATATATGTATGTATATATATGTATATATATATGTATATATATATGTATATATATATATAAAATTTTAAATATTTTTATTTATATATAGTGATATATACGTATATATTTATGTGTATATATATATTTCGTTCTACATGTATTTTGATAAATATATATATTAATATCCCATTACAGTTAGAACGAAATAACACACATCTATATATTTTTTAATTATTTAAATTTTATTTTTAACGTATTTACATTTCATTTTTTTATATTACATATATATATATATCAATTATATATTTAATCAGTATTAGTCTACGTGTAATTTGATATTAATATATATATATATATATATTAATATATATATATATATTAATTAAAATACACCTAGACAGTGTATGTATATATATATATCTATATAATCTAAGTGTGTGTGTGTGTGTGTGTGTATGTATGTATATATATATAATATATATATATATATATATATATATATATATATAATTTTTTATTTTTTTTTCTTACACTTATTTTAATTGTATTTCTAGCCAGCAGGGGGACCACCTGTCATTACAGGCAGCCCCCCTGCTGGCAATGCTGCAGCCAGCTATACCGGCCATGTGATTGTGAGGAGGCAGGATCCGCCGTAGGGGGGCTCCCTGGGAGTCCCCCCAACCGCGATTGCCGGCGTGGGATCACCGGCGAACAGGTAAGTAGGCAAAAACCGGAGGGGGTATTATTACGCCCGGCGGCGTTTAGAGCCGCCTAATATAGGGCGTAATAGTACGCCCTCCGGTCTGAAGGGGTTAACCCCACCAAGACTTTCTGTGACTGTCCAAACACAGACTTCCCAATGCAGCTCAAGTCTTTGCAAGGCAGGTGCTCTGGGCAATAGCATTTGTATTGAGTTTAGCTCCACTGAGCTAACAACCCATGAAGTGACAGTACTGGTTGTCTAACAACCATGGGGGTGTAACCAGGTAAGTTCATAAAAGTTTCAATATCTATTAAAATCTGAACTTTTTTCAAAGTGGGGGGAAAAGAGGATACCCTCTTCACATATAAAGATTTACAGCAAGTCAAAGTACTTTGGAGGTTCAGAGTGTCACTTTAAAAATTTAAAAAAAAATACAAAAAAAAGTGGTAATTATTGTCCCTATTTCACCGCATGCAGGGCAACTTCATTACCCTATAATGCCTCAGGTGCTCTCAACAGCATGCTCTACCATTTGATCAACAATAATTACTTTTCAACTCACATTAATTTATTTTTTTTAAATGGACACCCAGGATAATATATTTTTCACTACCTATTTATAATGTTTAGTTGTAGAGTTGAACCAAAATCTCATATGACTTTAGTTTATCCCACCAGCTTGGTGAAAGATGGCAAATTGTAAAGCAGAAGTTAGACTCTGGGCCTGTGAAATAATGATTCAGAACCTGCAACAAAACTTAAGGAAAAAAACTCTACTACTACTACTTTTTGAAATATTATAAAAGGTATTACATTAACAATTTAGGTGATCATGATATCCACAAATTGTGGATAAAATGACAGTTTTATATTCAGGTCGGCATTGGTTTATTCAGGAATATTGTATCCAGGAAAATGTATAGTTTAAGCATATACTTCCTGCAGATTGCTTCGGACTCTTTGAGCATAACATAGTCCTTAATATGCAGTCAATTAGTCTGTGTTCAGACGTATAGAGACTTGGACAGTGCTGTCAGTCTTTGCAGAAGCTTGTAGTTGTTACCCATATTCTGTACTTAATGAAGTTGTATATTCTGCTTCTTTTAGGACCTCACCACAGAGTTTGCAACCGCTAACAACCCAACTGCCATCACGCTTGAGGAATATTTCAACCCAGATTTTGATCTTAAAAACAGGGACATTGGTCGGCCCAAAGAGTTGACCATCAGGACACAGAAGTTAGTATTTAGCATGAAAATATGAAGGTAGCAAGTGTGTAAGCCAAGCATTCTCTGTGTAGTGCAAATTATGCAAAAGTAGTTTACATATCAAAGACTCTAATGAAAATTTCTCTATCTTCCCGTTTTCAAGTTAGAATCAGATTTTTAGTTTTCAACTGACTCGCAGTTTTCCTTATATTTTCAGTTTTGTTAGGAATATGCTTCTCTTTTTTTTCTTCAGTGTTTTGTAAAACTAGGTTAAGGGCACATTTATAGCTGCAGGACTGTAACATGATCATTTTTATTTATTTTAAGGTTTAAAGCCACATTATGGATGTGCGAAGACTTTCCCCTCTCTTTGGTGGAACAAGTTACTCCCATCATTGATCTGATGGCCAGGACAAGCTCTCACTTTGCACATCTTCGAGACTTTATAACACTGCAGTTTCCACCAGGGTTTCCAGTCAAAATTGGTACGGTTGTATTTCTGCTTTTAACAACGAGCAGTGAGGAACGCTAACATATTTATTCTGTTGTGCATACTTGACTTATCTGCACACATGTGTTTAAATGTTGTATGAAAGAGGAACCAATGTGATCGCTGTACCAGATTAGAAAAGTGAATAAAAATAGCTTCCTTGTTGTTTGAACAATTATCAGTAGAAAAAAAAAACATGTTTACTTACCGTAAATTTATTTTTCCAGAAGATTAGAGGCAGTGCTTTACAACTGGGATTTCATCACCTGGAGGGAAAAAAAACAGGCAGGCAATCTCCCAAACTTTTCAAGAACCTCCCCCAATTAACCTTTGGCCTTATAAATTGCTTCCTACCCAAGACATCCCCAGAAATTACAAAAGCCGAATAACCGTACCACTCAGACTATTAAAAAAATTTTGGGGGGGGAAGTGAGCACTGTCTCTAATCTTCTGGAAAAAGAAATTTATGGTAAGTAAAAATTTTAGTTTTTCCCTTCAGATTAGAGACAGTGCTTTACAACTGGAATAGCCAAAAGCAATCCCTTAGGGCGGGACTCAAATCTCACTGCAAAAAACCTGCGACCAAAGTTGTATCTTCCAAGGTCAAGAGACCAAAATGAGTGAAGAGATCACCTCGTGGCTGTTAGGAATTCGAGAGAATGTATAGCAGAAGCCCTCAGGCACCCGATCTGAACATAACTGATCGAAGGAGCTTCAATGGAGATAGGTGTTAGATAAGAAAAAACCAAATGAATGCAGACCTTTAAGGAACTGTAGACGAGCACTAAACGCCCAGGCAGTGGAATTAGAATTTCAAGACTCTAGAACGCGGTTGGGAAAAGTTAGAAAAATCATGATAGATGGAAGTTTGGGAAGAATTAAAAATCCAACTTAACTCCACTTTCTCCTGCTGAAAATGGAAACTTGAAGAACTTGAAGTTCTTCCCATAATTATTTTGGGCGACTACCCCCAACGACCTAGAGTGAAGCCTCAAATCAGCAGTTAAAAACCCCAAAAGAAGATCCCCTGAAGATAGGAACTAACCACTAAAGGGCCTAGCAGATACTGGTGATTTGGAGACAAACCTCTGAAAATCAACTGATAACTGAAACTTGACCTTGAGGATCTCTTGCTTTAAACCATCCGCAAAGCCCATCTGAAGAAAAAAAAGGAGGTTAAAAACTTGTAAGCGGATGCCTGCTTTTCTTTCAACCAATATCTTAAACAACACCTTCCATACTAGGAATAAATCTTGGAACAAGATCCATTTATAGTAAATGAAATTGTCAAAAATGTCCTGAGACAAACCATCCTTCAGTATCTGGTATACATAAACCAGGTCGTCAGCTTGAATTACTACAAAGTTGAGAAGAGGTACCCTTGAGAATTCCAGGATGCCTATTTACAGGTAAGGTCCCCAAAGATTCCTCTAGATGACCGGTGAAACAGCTACTTGCCACTAAGGGAGGAAGACTATAATTCTCACCTTTTCCATCCTATAGGATCTTGGGGAATAGGGAACCAGGAGGAAACTATAGGTTAGACTTGAATTCCCAAGAAAGAAAAGGAAACCAAAGCTTACTGGTCTGTCCAAGCTTGTCCAATGAAACACTTCAAGCTATCGGTTTGATCTAGAAGTCCCAGTTCCATAACTGGATAATCAAATTCTTCCTATCGTTTGGGTGAAGATCAGGGAGTACGAACCAATCTGCTTTGTATTAAATGTTGACTACTCAATGCTACAGCTAAAGAGGAATATTAAGTTCTATGCATAAGTGAATAGACCTAAGAAAAACTAACCCAAGCATATCCTGGAACAAGATTTTTCAAACAAGAAGACCTTGTTTGTACATAATTGCTACCGATGTAGAACTATCCGGCCAGATCTGATCGATTTGTGAACTAGAACAAAAACTAAGAACCGTCTGGCATCCTTAATTTCTGCCTGGTTCAGAAAGGAATGACCGAAGTAAAGGATTTTACTGCAAAATCTTATCGGCAACTGTATCTGACCTCTGAAGGACCTGTAAATAGTGCTATGCGTAAAGAAGATGAAGAGACCAAGCAGGTTCTTACAAGACGGGAACCAAAATTATTTCCCTAGTATCTTGTCTACTGAAGTAGAAGAGAAATTGAGAGAACCACAAATTTTTTCTTCAGGGAATTACCATTCTCTGAGAGTCAAAAACCCTTGTCAAAAATTTTTACACCTGAACTGTTCCTTGACAAACACCAGAACTGCACACTTCTTGTAAAGAGAATTCTTTATCAGAAGATTGATTAGCATCCACCTGTATGCTGTAGAAAAAACACCCTAACCTTTAGGGGCTGGTGTACAAAATTAATTAGGTGCCCATGAGGAAGCAGTACAAATTTATGGATGGCAACATTTTGCATAGTGAGAGAATCTTAAGTGGCAATTGCCATAAGCTCTTTCTTAAAAGAAAACGGCAAACAAACCTAGGCAGTAAACCATCCCTGTCATACCGTATCTATGGCAGTGCAGGGTACAAATTGAACTTGGTGGAACTACACCTTGATCAATAGGCCTGCAGGTGTACTAGAACTTGCTTCAAGCCCAGTAACATGAGGAAGAAATAATTTTCCATGGAGACTAGTTCATACAGGTTACCATCTTTATTGGCCGAAGCGAGACTGATTACATAGATATACAGTCTGCATAAGACAATACCCATGATTCAGGCCTACCTTAACCATAATTGGGAAGCAGAGGCTAGAGCAGAAAGAATATCTGCAAACTGCATTTCAAAACCTGTTTGATGCAGACTCTGCAGGAATCAATAGTAGAAGTCATTCTTTAAAATTGCAATACCAACCAACAGCCTTACCTGCTAAAGGCTTACCTTAGCCGTATTTGGGAAGCAGAGGCTAGAGCAGACAGAATAGCTGCAACTGCATTTCAAAACCTGTTTGATGCAGACTCTGCAGTAACCAATATTAGTAAGTAATCTTATATATTTTCACTTCCAACCATCAGCCTTACCTGATAGAGGCTTTCCTTAGCCGTATTTGGGAAGCAGAGGCTAGAGCAGACCGAATAGCTGCAACTGCATTTAAAAACCTGTTTGATGCAAACTCTCCAGGAACCAATATTAGGAAGCCTTTTCTTTAAAAAAGCACAGGAAAATTTCTGCCCCAGCTGAAAAACAGACTGCCTTTTTAGAAACTATTAGGTGAAACTAGTTGAGGTGGTGAGAATGCTAATTGCAAAAGAGCAAAAAGCCTACTGCATGTTTTAAGAAAATAAACACTGCGGCTAGGATCCTGGAATTTAACCCCTTAAGGACGGAGCCAAATGTACACATTGTGAACAAAACAAAATGTAAACAAAACCTGGCATTTGCGCTACATGTCTGTCCAGCCGTAATTCACCTCTTTCATATTAAATGCACCCACCCTTATTATATATCATTTTATTCAGGGGAAACAGGGCTTTCATTTAATATCAAATATTTAGCTATGAAACATAATTTAATATGAAAAAAATGGGAGAAAATGTTTTTTTGGGATTTTTTTTAGTTCTACATGCCATTTTAACGGTCAGTGTCATAATACTGTTTGCTTTTACTGCAATAAAATACACATATTTATATTCAGTAAAGTCTCACGTGTAAGACAGTACCCCCTATGTACAGGTTTTATGGCGTTTTGGGAAGTTACAGGGTCAAATATAGCACGTTACATTTGAAATTGAAATTTGCCAGATTGGTTACGCTGCCTTTGAGACTGTATAGTAGCCCGGGAATGAAATTTACACCCATAATGGCATACCATTTGTAATAGTAGACAACCCAAGGTATTGCAAATGGGGTATGTCCAGTCTTTTTTAGTAGCCATTAGGTCACAAACACTGGCCAAAGTTAGCGTTAGTATTTGTTTGTGTGTGAAAAATGCAAAAAACGCCAATTTTGGCCAGTGTTTGTGACTAAGTGGCTACTAAAAAATACTGGACATACCCTGTTTGCAATACCTTGGGTTGTCTACTATTGCAAATGGTATGCCATCATAGGTGTAATTTTCATTCTTGGGCTACCATAGGGTCTCAAAGGCAATGTAACCAATCTGGCGAATTTTAATGTGAAAAAAATGAAAAGCTTATATTTGACGCTGTAACTGAATTTGATGCCAGGGAACCTTGGATCGCTGACCAGAATTAATATTTATGTTTCAAAAGCAAAATGTATTCCAAATATGATATAAAGTAAAAAAAAGTGAAGTTTTTTGCATTTTCACGCAAACAGCATTACACGGACAATATTATTGCTGTGATACTTTTACTGTTTTGAAACACTAATATTTGTGTTCAGCGAAGTCTCCCGAGTAGAACAGTACCCCCATGTACAGGTTTTATGGTGTCTTGGAAAGTTATAGGGTTAAATATAGTGCTAGCAAATTAAATTCCCTTTACTTTCGCATGGGTTGTCAGGCAGGTCCTGCTAATTGTAATTAATTAAGATACCTAATTATGTAAAAATATTACATAAATATATATGTAGAATTAATATATGTATATATATATACATGTGTATATATATATGTATATATCTAATATAATTTTTTTAAATATTTTATTTATATATAGGTATATATATAGTGATATATAATATATATTTATGTATATATATATATATTTCGTTCTCGGTATTTTTATATATATATATATATATATATATATATATATATATATTAATTTCACAAAACAGAACGAAATAACACATCTATATATTTTTTTATTATTTATTTTTAATTATTTTTTAAATTTTATTAACGTATTTACATTTTTTTTTTATATTATATATAAATATATATATATTTAATCAGTATCAGTCTACGTGTAATTTGATATTAAAATATATATATATATATTAATAGTAAAATACACCTAGACGGTGTACGTGTGTGTATGTATATGTGTGTGTATGTGTATGTGTATGTGTATGTGTATGTGTGTGTATATGTGTATATATATGCAGGAGGCAGCCTACCCGGCCATGTGATTGTGGGGTCCTCGCTAGGACCCCACTCTCACATGGCCGGGGAGCACCGGAGGAGAAGGATCTGCCGTGGGGGGGCTCCATGGGAGTCCCCCCCACCGCGATCGCCGGCGTGGGACCGCCGGCGACTGGGTAAGTTAACAAAAACCGGAGGGCGTACAATTACGCCCAGCGGCGTTTAGAGCCGCCTATTAGAGGGCGTAATTGTACGTCCTCCGGTTTTAAGGGGTTAAAGAATCCATCTGCTACAACAGTATATTAACTTAACCAAAACCAGATCTTAAATATCAGCCTTCTAAGGATAACATACAGAGGATAATCCTCCAATAGTCATACAGGTCTTGCTCCTGTGAATATATTCCACCGGAACACTTCACTGACCCTGTTGCAGCAATTAGTGATTTATTGAGACCCATATTAACCAATCACTGTGTAGCAGCTATTTTGAGCCAGAAAGGAAACTTAAATTTACCAATAGAATTATGTAAAAGTATATTCTTATCGAATACCCTTTATAGGCTTTACTCAAAGAATAATCTATTTTTTTAGAAGAAGAAAACCAAAGAATCTATTATGTGCCTGATCTACTAAATGCTTACACTTTTAAAGCACTATTTGTTTTAAGATTTTAGGAATAATCTTTAAGTGATGAGAAGCTAAAAATTCTCCATCTTAGAAACATTTGCACTTTTTTAGCTTATCCATCTTGCAGCACAGATAATTAACTTATTCAGGCTAGAGTCATTTAAGATAAAAGCAAAAAGGCTTACCTTAAATGTCCTCCGAGTGTGTTGGAGGTTGGTGAGAACACACTTGCAACAGATTCTTAGTGCACCTGGCAACAGTTAGTTGCTGCTGGGTAAACAGCCTCTCTAAGTCCTGGAAACCAACATCTTGACCCCGGAGAGTAAAAACAATAAAGATATTGGCGCCTGAATTTTAAATCGCATTACGCATGTCCTGCATTTCGCGATTCCACGGTGGAAATAAACGTAACCTGTACGAGTGTTCCACCGCCAGGACTTCCCAGCTAGTGCCCAAATGCACACCATCGTCTGCCCGGCACCTGGCTCGGTATAGATGGAAGTAATACAACCCAGGGAGATACAGCCGTCTGGTGTGTTATCCCTGGCCAATCTCTGAAAAGTTTATTTAAAAGAAGTAGAGCCTCAGCCCTCTCACCATACTTATAGGGAGAAAACCTGAACCTGACACCCTCATCTGCCAGAGGCAGGCAAAGAACTGGGGATGTCTTGGGTAGGAAGCAATTTATAAGGCCAAAGGTTAATTGGGGGAGGTTCTTGTAAAGTTTGGGAGATTGCCTGCCTGGTTTTTCCCTCCAGGTGATGAAATCCCAGTTGTAAAGCACTGCCTCTAATCTGAAGGGAAAATGTTTTTAGATTACTTTATAACCATTAAATGTACACTACCTAGATTTTGCACATGCAGTGACTGGTGTTGAGTGCCCCTGTAAGGAAGTGTGTGTGTGTGTGTGTTAGTGAGTTATATATATACTTTTTTTTTTTTTTTTTTTTAATTAACTGAGAAAGTCAGTACTATTTTTACTAGACTGTATTGGAATCTAATTGTTTATAATAAAAAACAAATACTAATGAGAGCCTCATCTTCAAGCAAATAATCTGCTTCTTCCTTGCTTCCATGATCAACATGTGATCTCTGTTTACTATTTTGGCATTGCCTGTCCTGCCTTAAATGATTAGATTGCAGTTGGTTAAAGCAATATCTGCAGAACAGAAATAGTGTTTTTGTTGACACTCTTGTGTCTTTTTATTTATAGATCATTTTAAAGGAAAAAGTAGAAAGTGTTTGAGAAGCGAATTATGTGCTGTTGTAGTGTCAATTAAAACCCATGTGTTCTTCCTCAGAGATCCCACTTTTTCACGTACTGAATGCAAGAATCACGTTTGGCAATGTGAATACATGTTCAACAGCGGAGGAGAGTGCCAGCACGCCATCCACTCCCAGAGGATCACAAGACGAGGCTAATTGTCCGCTCCTGGACCAAGGTGTGTTCATGTCATGATGCCTGTCTGTAGACTGGTGTATCCTGCAAGTAGATTTGTCTGAAATTTTAAATGTACTACAGTCCATTCCGCAGTCTTGTAGTAATGGCATTTGGAAGGTATAACATCATGTCATAGCTCAGAGCTCTCGAGACTGTGATATCTAATAATTGTAGGTTTGCATTTGTCATGCTTTATATTTGTTTTAATTCAAATATTATACATTGTTGAAATGGACATAGTAGACATTTGTCAGTGTCTTATTCAGATGTTGATCTGAATAAGACACTGACAAATGTCTACATATATGCTTGCTGTTCACCTCCAGTTTAGTGACAGTCTGTTTGTTTTGTTTATGTACATGGACAATTTACACCAATTTGTGTGCTTAAAATGTAAAGTGTAATATCATGTCAACTGTTACTGGTTTAATTTTTGTAACTTCCACTAAAGTTCATGGTAATGTTGAGGATGCATTTCTTTCCCTGACATCCTCACCAGCAGTGAACAGAAATACACTACTTTCTAGATTGGACAGAAGAACTCTGAACAGCAATTCACAATTGTTATTACCCATGTAAGGTTATTCCAGGTCATGTATTGTGATGCAGCCTCTTGACTCAACAACTTGTAAGTTCTCCTGCCTGTGTAACGTGCTTTTTATAGACTTGTTAATTTTGTATTTTTTTTTTTTATATATATATATATTCAGCCTCTTCTATGCCAAAGTTTGAGGTGGATCAGTCAGTCTTTGAAATCCCTCCATCTTACCATATTCAGGAAAATGGAAGGAGCATGCACATACGGGATGAAGATGATGAAATAATGCAGTTTGCTATACAGCAAAGTTTGTTGGAGTGCAGTGGAAATCAGGTGAGAAATCGCAGAACCATCACTTACATTCTTATCCAAGTCATATATGTTCAATGAAAAGCAAGCTGACTTAAAGACCTGTTACTAGTTACATCCTTATAGTAACCTAGGCCACTTCTAGATCCAAAAAGTTAAATTAGATGTGAATTACACTTCGTTTAAGGCATAAACTCTTTTCTTCTACACATCTAGTGTTGTGACCATTACAGTCACAAGTGGTGGCTATTATTCCTAAAGTGCCTTTCTGCAGCAAAACCACTTAATGAAGAGGTTCTGCATGCCTCTCAGTTACGGGAGTTTCTGCAGCCTCACTCCCACCTTATCCACCCATCTCCATTTCAGACAGTCCACTAATGATAAAACAGGGCATCGTTGTGCAGCCTGTGAGAAATCACTGCCACCAGAGCCTGATCTGCATGATCATACTGATCAGACTCCCTCTCCTCACCCCCGTCAGGATCTTGCAAGGTGAAGTGATCTTCCGTCTGTAATGTGGAAAACTGTCAGGCATATCCAATGCACATCTCCAGCATTCCTAGGAATAGGACACTGGTTAGATCAGTGTCTCCCTGAAGTAGGTGTGAAAAGCATAAAAATGAAAAAGTAGGTAAATATGAAGAAGAAAAAAACATTTTTTATCTCTTTAATTTTTTAATTTTATTTTTTTATGGTCAATATGAAATATAGTGACAACTGCATTATGCAAAACTTGTCGAAAGAGAAACTGGAACTCGGGCATATAATTGTTGGCCAGGGCACACAGTCCCTCTGTCAACCAGCTCAATACCTCTAGGGACTGCAAGTTCGCACCAACCAGCCTCCAGGTTTGTTTGCAGGCAAAGGTGACATGCATTCAGTTAGGGCTTGCCAAGCACTGTGATCTGTACCAGGTGTAAAGCCTATTGCAGGCTGTCGTTCGCCCTTTTCTGTTGTCTTTTAAGATCCTTTCACGAAGCTGTGCTGTGCTGTGCTGTCAGCTACCCTTGGCTGGTTCCACTAGACTCTGTACCAGCAACCTATAGGAGCCATGGGTTCTTCCCAGCATCTTGCACGTTAAGGTGGATTATGCAGGGTAGACATACAGAGGTAAAGGAATTGTTGAAACTGGTAAATCCCATCTGGCTGTTGGTCTCTACCAAAATGAATGGCATACAGTCAAATGCCCCAAGGAGGGCTTGCTGGGATCTCAAATGACATCCAAGGTACACTTGTTTCTGCATTTACAGGAGTGTTGGCAATATTGAAACTACCAGGTAAGTGTGATGCGCGTTCAAGAGTGTATCCTGAGCATAGCCACAAATTACCAAAGTGGTCAGTGTGGCCCGGGATAACCCCACCTGCGCAGGGGAGGGGGGTGATCTCAGGAGATAACAGGAGCACTACAAGGCAGAAGTCTGCCACCTTCACTGCCTTGTTCCGTCCAGCAGGCCTCAGACATGTCCTTTGCGAGTAGCACCTGTCTCTGATAGGGAAGGTCGGTCCCAAGTAGTGTCAGGTTGTTGTTCAGGTCAAGAGATGGCAGATGGGCTTGCAAGTTAAGCTTTATTTCCCACAAAATCTGAGGAGCTCCTCCAGTATATGACTTTTTTGGTCAGCAGCCCCTTACCTGCTTTTTTTCAGCCCTCCAAGGTAGGCAACTGTCTCTAAAGCTAATGTTTTTGAATGAGACCATTGTCTCAAAGTGATGTATGTCCCATTGAGGATACAGGAAAAAGTTAGGATGGATTGATCAAATAGGGAAGGGAATTTGAATGGAACATGGGTTTACTAAGGAAGCAAGAATAGAAAGAGAACAAGAAAAGGCATACACTGTCTAAAACTGTAACGGTATTGAAACTGCAAAATATTTAATTTGAAACTGTCATCAACTAGACACACATAAGTGTACAAGTCCCCTGTGGTTCCAAGGCAGGTAAACTGTATTGTATAGTTTATTAATTAATGTAGAGTATTGACTTGATGTCTGTTGTGTGCATGCTGTTTTATTTGCCTTCTAATTTCTCCTATTGATTTCTCTTCAGTCCATGTCACAAAGCCATTCAAATGGAAGTATCTCTCCTCACCAGGTGTTTGACACACAGTATGAAAGGTAATGTTTTATATTTTGCATATTGAACAGATAGCAGAGTTGAAGTACAATCTATGACTGCAAAATTGAAACAAGGATTTGAGTAATGTATTTTTTTGTAAAATGTAATATGTCAGAATGCTTATTATAAGGGAGTACAAAAACATGTCATACTTATTCTGTCCTCGTTATTAAGTCAGTACCATAAACCAAAAAAAAAAGACCGGGGGGCGGAGCCAACTGCCTAACGAGACGGACGCACACTAAGAGATCTCCGGAGCGATTGCCTTGTTCACGGCAGCTACCGGCCACAAAATCCCAAGATCGGCGACCAGGCTAAGGACTTACCTGCTCCACACCCGATGGGGAAACGATCCAAAAAACTCCGGGCCGATGGGAGCCCGGGAACCCGAGATATTGGCACGTTTATGCAGCAGCCTACAAGGCCCGCACCAACAAGGATGGCGCCAGCGCCAGTCTCCACCTCAGACTCCTCTGATGCAGAGTGTTTGCCAGAAGACCTCTCCACCTTTCCAGAGGTACATAAAGCCACATAACAGCTCCCAATAGGGGGAGATACTGCACCCTCAACTAAAGCAGACATTAAAGCCCTTCTATGTGAAATACGGGCCATGTTTCAAGCAGATGTGGCTGGGGTGAGGGAAGAGGTGGCCACCCTTACTGACGGGCTTGTCAGAATAGAGGATGATATGGACACGACAAAAGTGGCACAATCAGCCCCGTAGCTCACTGCAAAAGAGCAATGCGGACCACCTAGCTAACATGGAGGACACAATGAAGGCAAGAAATGTGAGGATCAGGGGGGTCCCAGATACCATAACTACTGGAGAACTGCCTCACTTTATTAGAAGACTCCTCCACACTACTTCCCCCAAAACAGGCGAAACAAGTTGTTATGGATCATTGCTATCGACTAACTAAGGCCCCTAGAGCCACTCCAGAGGCATCGAGAGACATCCTAGTTAAACTCGTCCGAGACTCAGACAGGGCGAATATCCTGGTGGCGACCAGAGATTCCCTCACCACCGCTTTTGAGGGTCATCAACTGACGTTTTACAGGGACATATCCCGCCACACCATTGTCTGACGGCAGTCACTCCGCCAACTCACTCAGCACCTCCGGAAGCAAGGTGCCATATAAATGGGGCATACACAAGCTTACAGTCAAAAAGGGGGGCAAGACACTCTCAATTACCCACCTCTCTGAATCGCATCACTTATTAAGTGAACTGGGACTGCTCGAGAGCGCCTTCCCCTTTCCGCAACAACCCTCATGGTCAATGGACCGGATTACCCCGTTTGTCCCCAGAGAGACTGCAGGGGGATCCCGTGGCACGCCACCGTGAAGTAGACTTTCTCACTACGCTGTTCAACATCCATACACGCTCAATGTGAACTCAAATCACTCCTCTAATTGCTAGCGATGACATTGTATATTGTTTCAGGGTTCACACAATTTGAACTGGCTCCGATAGCTGGAGCTATTCTATCTTTGACTAGTTGTACACCCCCCACCCCTACCTACCTACTCCGTTGACCATAACCAACAGTATTCACTACCTGGTAAACGCTACGTGACACAGGCTGACGATGTTTAATTTTACCAAGAATAACTCGCTATGACGGCAGACTGAGAACGAGACAGCAGATATAGTCATAGCAGATGAGCCGTAGCTCTCATCTGCGCCCACCCCCTTACTTTTAATAACCCAGAGGAATTCAGGCTTTAATACCCCTTCTGACGACGGATGACTGCCTCGTGTTGTAAAAGTTATATTATTATTATTATGATTATTATTACATCATAAAATGTACTGCATATCTGATATGTTCTGTTATAACACTATGACCAATGTTACACTGTTGATAACATGTCTTAAGTCAAGTTGTGCACCTTTATAAAGCACAACAAATTTTTTTTAAAAATAGGGTTATTAGCACGCCTCTAGTACTTTAAAAAAAAAAAAAAAACCTTGAAGGGAAGAAATGTATTGAATCATGGCCATTTCTGTATTTCAAACAAGTTTTGTTAGAATTGTATGTCGTTTTACCGTTCCTACAGCTCTGAAGAATATGTTGGCTTTAGATAAATAATTGTAATTCAGCAGTTGTCCCTTAATGCAAATATCTTTTTGTTGGAGCTTGTTCTTTTTAATAACCTGCAGATATCCCAGAAGCTTCACTACTTCACTAGATCAGACATCTGCCACGTTGTGAGGATTAAATAAAGTTTTTATTGTGTTTGTGGCCGAAAGTATGTAGACACTTTACCATCACATTTATATGGGCTTACGTAGATTGTTCTTTTCGCTAGAACAGCTGCACCTCTTCTGGGAAGGCTTTCCACTAGATTTTGGGTTGTGCCTTTATGACTTTGTGCCCATTCAACCAAAATAGCATTTGTAAGGTCAGGCACTGATGTTGCACAAGAACATCTGGTTAACGTTTGGCATTCCAGCTCATCCCCAGGGTGTTTAGTGGGGTTCAAATCATGGCCTCCACACCTGACTCTTCAAAACTGATCTACATGGACCTTGGAACTGTAGTAGCTTATACCAAACTATAAGTCTGCATTACCAAACGTTACAGCAGACACTATGCATTCCATTAGCTAGCATTCAACACTGAGATCAGAGTGCCTGATAGGGACGTGTGATTCATCATTTGAAAGAACATGTTTCACTGCTACAAAGTCTAGTGGTGCTGTGCTTGATGCCATTGCACCTTGGCATTGCAGATCTTGATCTGACACTTGTATACATCTCCTTGGTCATGGAAACTCATTTTATGAAGCTCCCAAAATATAGATAATCTACGATAAATGTATATGTAAACCTGTATATATATATTTATTTAGATCGATCTAGATCTCTATGTGTGCGTGTATTTTTCTTGGTAATGTATGTCTTTTCATCTTTCCCAGGGCCTTGCAGGAGAGTATTCTTGCCAACTCTCAGAGTATACAATCCAATCTCAGTAGCCATTCTCAGAGCTTTGACAAAGACTTGCAGATTGCCATGGAATTGTCTGCCAAGGAAATAGAGGAGCAGGAGAAACGTCGTCTTGAGGAGGAAGCCCAGCTGGAGGAGATCTTAAAACTCTCTCTCATGGAGAAATAGGCCATACAGCAAATCAAGAAGAACCTCTGATGATATGGGTCAGGCACTCACCTTTTTAAAACCAGCAGCTTTTTGCAGGCTTTGAGGGACAAGACATCACTTCACAGACTCTGTATCTACCAAAGAACTGAGACCTTTTTGATATATTTTATATAATTTTTTTTCTTTGCTTTTATAATGCTTTCAGGCCGGAGGATATATCCTCGTTCATTTGTTTGTTTTGGGTTTTTCTTTTGTTTTTTGTTTTTGGGAGGGGTTGTTTTATTTATAATAATTTTTTTTTCCAGTATGAGGTTATGCTACCTTTTTTTTTTTTGACCAATCTTAATCCGAGGACTAGGCATTGATGTAAACACTGTAACGTTTCTCATCCAATTTTTTTTGTTCGTTTTTTTCAAAAATCCATGAAATGCCAGTGTGTCTTACGCACAGAAGTGCATTTTCTCTCAGTAAAACTTAAGACAAATGCCTCCATATTTAAACATCAGGTGATAATTCTGTAGCCATGGGTGGATCACATATGTGTTTCTGATCCATCTTTTTAACATTTGTGTTGCTCACTTGCTCCTTGATGCAGTGTTTAAAAAGATACACATTTACCACTCAGAAGAGGCCATAAACTGTCAGATTCTGTCATGGACACAGGAGGTTGGAGAAAATGAGCACAGCCTCAAATTAATGGTGTCTACAGCAAACCAGTACCCTTTTGTGTGCACCAAATAAAGGTATACCATTGATTTGAGACTGTGATTGACCATTATTACACCTCTCCAACTGGTTTTGCCGGAACCGGCGTTCGTGACCCTTTTGTGGTATTAGTGCTCTCCTTTTACAATATTCCAATAGGTAGTGCTAGTGATTCACCCACTGCCTAGTAAAAGGTTAGGATGCAATGCTTCCACTGGTATGCATGCAGAGTTATTTAATGCAATATTCTTGCAGGAGAGCACTGTCCACTAGCCTATCACTGTCCTGTCAATGACGGTTCTGCTCTAAAATGGCAGCCATCTCTGTGCTGTAAATTATTTTGATATACTTCATATTTAATAGTTTCAATCTAGAATTCTTAATGATTGTCTAGTTTTTTTTTTTTTTATGTTTTTCTTTTTTAAATGTATAAATTAAGTTTCTTAAGTGAGAGAAACTTGGACCTTAAATTGCTAATTCTTATTTATTTTTGGCTCATTGTACATATTTTTTTATTTTTTCCCCCTTCTCTGAAATGTTTAAACTTAAAGGATTAGGGAAAAACCCTTAGTTATTAATAAATATAAGTATATAATTAAAGATCAGATCCTAATCCTTTTTAAAATTTTCAGTAAATGCATTAGTTTAGACCATTTGATATCCCATCCTGCGATCATACAGGCTGTGCTAATAACCTGATCTCTGAAAGTCTGCTTTTTTTTTTTTAACCATTGATCAATAATCATGTTTGGGAAATTGACAGAAGTCATTGCACCATCTGCTATTGAATAGTTTCAGGGATGTTCTCAACATGCCCTTGGCACTAGTCTGGATGCAAATACTATTAATATAGATTTGTGCTATTCCACAGTTACCTGAGAATAACTATTTTGGTGCTACAGATAGGATAATTTGGAGTGCATTTTATTCCAGACTTAATATACTATTCACTGGGAATGCACTCTTAAAAGGGAATATCTATGAAATATATTTTTTGCTTTTTTTAAAGCATGGGGGATTGCACCTTTTTTAAATAGTGGAATTAAATTTATTAATATAATGTTTGCAATATGTCAATGCAAGGTCCCCATTGAGAGGCAGCATTTACAGTCACTTGATGGTTCAGCAAAACACCCTTCAAATAATTAAAAAGGTTCAACACAACTTTTTTATACATTTCATTTCCTCTCTCAGAATATATAGTGGTATAATATATATATTTTTTTCTGCTGTAAGATATTGATCTAATCACTGTAATGCAAATGATGGATTTCATAATCTTGATATGTAAACCTCTGTTTAGGACAGGTTCCAAGCCATGCAGAAGATATGTATATGTAAGCAGGAATGTTGTGTGTTATTATCAATTCTGACAGAGTTGACTAATCCAGGTGTTCAGATATGTTGTATATGGAGTGCATGGTGTATGAATAAAGTCGTTGTACAAATGTTTTAAGCTAGTTCTGCCCCAGTGTGTCCATTTTTTCCCTTTATAATATGTGATTAGCACACTATCTGGGTTATTCACTGAAGTGAACATTCAAGGGGATTTCAAAGTAAATTTGAAATTTAAGGTCAAAATAGCCAGAGTGGAAAAATTCAGTGATTGTTTCACTTCAGCTACTCTGGCCTTAAATGCAAAATTCACTTTGAATTCTCACTTTAGTAAATAACCCTGTATATATCTTGCTGCAGATTTTAGCACCATCATTATCACTGGTGGGTATGCTAATTTAAACCATCAAGTTTATTAACTAAAGTGTGATCTGTTGGGACTTTGAAATCTAGTCTTAAATAGCACTACTGGAATAATTCTATGTCAGCTATTTTAAACTTAAGTGTAAAATTTTTAATAAACTTTAATTCCCAATAATTCACACATTAGTGAACAAATTAGTTTAACCACGCAATTATATATTGACTGACTAACTTATTATATACTTTTTTTGGTGAGTATGTTACATATGGACATTTACTTTTCTTATAAAAAAAATATGAATATTTAGAACACACATGTTGGTTGGGGTGTTTAAGTAAAAATATGCATTTTGTCAGATATTAGTTACGATGGAATGTTATGGAAAAAAACACTTGTGTGAACGAACACACCCACCACCTCTATCCCATCTTCATGTGTATACATTACACACACACACCACCTGAATTGTAATGGTCATTGTTCTAACAGCCTATACGTGAATCTATTCAACCTTGGACGGCAGTTGGTTTGTAGTGCTGCACTTTCAGCTTATTACTACAGTCCAAGAATGGATGGATCGGCCTTTAATAATGTGATGGTGTTACTTATTACTGTGGATGCAGGGAATGCGGTTAGACAGCATGTCAGGACAAGTCTGCATATTGTCAAACTGGTCCAAATCCGTTTTCACAAAAAACATGGTGAGTGTGCCCATAGATGTATTTCGACCCTTTAATTAGTTTCAAGGTTCTGTTAGGTGTAGCATTTCTGGGACACATCAATCAATGCTTTCCTATTGGAATTTTACAGACACTGGATGTTCTCATGCTGGGTGTGAGGACGTTCAGCGCATGTAGGTGACCTGGAGTCCATTAGCATCCAGGAAGTGCATCTGGTGGCTGTCTGGTAGACCACCATTAGAGGCTGTTTTGATGCTACAATGTAAACATTGCACTTGCTCAAAAACTGCAATGATTTACCTTGCAGGACTAAGTGGGGCATGGACAGTGCACCCAGACCATTTCAGTTAGTAGTAGCTCAATGAACAGCCAGCAGGCACTTTTTCCTTGATCACACTGTAGACAACCAATATATTCATTAAATTCATTAGCTGCCACCTGCCTTCAAGGTTCTGTGTGTTCGCGGCATCATACTGGACTTCCTTACGCCTGGCAGCAAAGAGAGACCATGCAGAGTGTGGAAGGGTGCGGCCAGGAGATGCTTTATAGCAAACCAGATTGTACACGTCAAAGAAATGGTCAACAAACAAGATAGAATACTTATAAACTTTGCCACCATGAAAGTGCACCCTAGTCCAAGTTTTGACTGCATCAGATGACTTCCCACTAACTAACTTGTCCCAGCCTCCCCTTCTGCACCTGTCTGAAATACTATTATATTACAAAAAGTCCCACCCAGCAGCTGTATTGTTGCCTTAGACAAGTGAAGTGGATCGGTAGACATGGTGTGGAATGAGGTTATTCTTTGATTATAAATCTTTAATGCATGAATCAGAGTTTAGTAATTAGTACACCTGCGCCATCTTCAATGAAGCGGACCTCTGTATTTGCATGTAGTGGACTATTGTCTGAGTTCCACTTTTGTCTCTCCCATCAGAGACCCTTTTGTGCAAATGTGCCAGTCCTGGGCCAGTAAGAGACACATTTGCATATGAGTTTCAGGTGAGTGTTTTTTATCGTTGTATCCTAGATACAATGAAATGACAATGTCAATACAACAAGAGGTTAGTGCAATGATAATGTGGAATTCTTTAAAACATGTTTGTTTATAACATCAGCATGGCTGTTGACTAGACTGAGAGTTGTTGGGAATGTCACATTTGTGGTCGAGATAGCTGAATTGGAAACCTTTTCCAAGTCCGCTATGCTTCCGGTTCAGTTACAGAGGTCTAGCTTTGGTAAATGGCCATGCATGTTTTTCCAGTTAGTGTTTTATGTTAAGTTTGCAACTGAAGGCTTAAATGTGTGTTTTTCTTCTGTGATGTTTACCAACCTTCACTGGAGTGAAATACATTTTGGATAAGTACTTTTTTTTTACCAAAAATAATTTTTTTGAGTTGCATGATATTTCCATGTAGAATAAGAGAAATGGAAAAAAAAAAATGTTTTTACATTTCTTTTCTAAACCTGGTTTAAAAAAACAAAAACAAAAAAACCCTTTAAATAAAATAATTCACAACATTACAAATTATGTGTTATAAGTCCTCTCAAAACAGTTTATCCATGATCCACACCCTGAAGTTCTTATGAGGACTTGGTGCTGTGTGTTATCTTGTTATCTCTGTTGTTATTTATTGGGTACCAAAACATATGTAGCAATATTTTGAGCAAGCATGGCTCAAATCGTTGCTAGTTGTGCCCAATAAATACCAGTTAAAATTACTGCATTGTTCACACTGCATTGTGAGCCATGAAAACTTGTTAGGATTTCATGGACAATCAGGCCTTGTTGGGGTTTCTTCTTCTCTTCTGTCTTTAAGTGCTCAATTTTTTTTATTTTTTTTTCTTGCCCCTAATTCAGGGTTTCCCAAATTATGGGTCGTGACCCACTAGTCAGTCGTAGGGTGATTCCCAGTGGGTCGCGGTGACCCACGCCTCTGGGGAGCTAAGAGACCGGCAGGCAGGCTGATTAGTCGGACCCTCTGTCCGTGTCTCTGCGGGCCCAACGGCTTGCCCTTTATGCTGCCGGGCTCCCTTCAATCAGTCTGCCCAGCAACTGGGTGTGAGAGAGGTCTCGCGAGCACCCAGAGTGTTACCATGGCAAAACTCTGGGTGCTCGCGAGACTTCTATCACATGGGCTGCAGCTCGGAAAGGTAACCCACTGGACCAACAGGGAATTTAATAAAGGTAGGACACAGGCCACACAACCTGCTCCCCCACCCCCCTCCCCTCCAAGCAGTAACCCCTTCTTTCCCTGTATGTCTGTGTATCGGTGTGCTAGTATGTGTCTCTCTGTATGTGTGTGGAAGCGTATACACTGCACACATGCATTCAAACACCAACATTCACACACATACTCCATACAAAACCATGCTTACATTCAAACACACATTGTGTATATGTATATTTTGTGTATATATATATATATATATATATATATATATATATATACACACACACTACATACGCACTGCAATCAAACGCAAGCATTACATATAAACACACCCCTGTACTAAAAAACAAAAATGATATGAAGCCTGCTAAATCCTCTAATCCTAGCAGTGCCCATTCGGGAGTGTTAACACCCCACTCTGCTCCTATCTCACCACTGTGACGGGTCTGGCCTACCAGCAGCCTGAGGTTTCCCTGCCCAATTTACCTATGTCATCCCAAGACCAACTACAGATTGGGCAAATTTGATCCAAGTACTTCTGCTAAGGATGACATTTAGGAGGCAATTACTAATCTACAGGTCTTAATCCAAGCAGACCTCCATGTGCTCTGCAACAAGCTTCAGGGTCTACTTGACTGGGTTGCCCATGTGGAAAAAGATCACCATAATTTAGTGGTGGCCCAGGCAACACACACTGATACACTGAAATGCCAGACGAGGCAACTTAATACGATGGCATTACATATAGAAGATTTTGATGAGGGGGGCCGCTGCCAAAACCTTCACCTATGAGGTGGACTTTCTCAGTTATTTAACAGCATCCTGAACAAGGATCCTTTCACTCCCATAGAATATGTGCATGCTCCCAAAGCTCTCCGTCTCAGAGGTCCCCCTGAGAGTCCTCTACGGGATGCTTTGTGCATGGGAAACACAAGAACTGGTCTATGACTGCCATGTTCTTTCGCTGTACCCAGATCTGTCTCAGGACACTTCGGGCTACCGAAGAGCTCTTAACCACTTACCAGGATCCAGTAGCACAGAAGATCAGATATCACTGGCAGATTCATATTTTGAAAGGACCTAAACCATTATGCACCCACCAAGTTTTTATTAGTCCAAGTAACCTACTTGAACTACATCCAGTGAACATGTGCTGGCCTGATCCACTGGATTTCTACCTACAGCCCTAACCTGTTGAGGCTCTATCTCAGTATACCCACCACACCAGCCTGGACTCTATAAAGCCTGTGGGCTCACAGGCCCTGTGAACATTGCTACATTACCCATAACTCGCTCATATTATGCAACACAGACTTTACTTAATGATTTCCTCCCAGCCTGTTCTAGCTTTTAACAGAGTAAATGCTAAATTCTAAATTTAACAAACTGTGCAATAAATGACATTTATGGCCTCTCCATGTGTCTCATTCCTCCCCCCCCAGCTTCTCCCTATGACCTATTGCTCCCACGCCAGCCCCTCCATGTCTCTTTTATCCCCCCCAGGGACATTACTGAGACCATTTCCTGTCAGACCGGGTAGTGGATAAGAAGATCCTCTACCGGTGGACCCCTTGGCCATGCTACATGCAGTGACCAGCTAGAGGGGAGCACTGTGCTGTGCGCTCCCCTCCTGCCAGTCACCCAGATACTGCGGCCCCTGGGTGGTGTGGCTGTGCACTGGCCCTGAAGTTATGCCGGCAGCATCAGCAAGGGTCGACAGCGCGGCCAAGCCCATTAAAGAGTCCGGGTGCAGTTGCGACGATTGTAGGTAAGCCACTGCTGACAGATCTTTCCACAACCACAATGATGTCCCTCTAGCTAATAACACTGAATATATTGTGTCTATATGGCAGAAAAGAGACTACACTTCTGGTGCAAAAACTGGTGTACAGCTTCATAAATGGATTGCACCATACAAAACATAACCCAAAAGAAAAAAAGGAGTCGTAAAAGAAATAGTAATAAATACAGAATTGATCACCAACAGACAAGGCTACTAACTAAACTCCAAAGTGCACCAGATAAAATCTGAATTACAAAGTTCTGATTAAAATAGCCAAACTATGGCAGAGTTGGAGATATACATGTGATACTCGAAAAATTAGAATATCATGCAAAAGTGGGGGGCGGGGCCTAACTGTCATGGAGGACAGACGTGTTTCACAGGAGCTCCTCCACCAGCCTGGCAGCAAAAGAGATTCACAGCCCCATTAAGCCTGATTTCGGGACCACCTGGAGCCCACTCCGACGCTCGACATAGCTGGGCCTGGTTGTAGGGGTCGGTGACCCGGTGAAAGCCGAGCAGCCACATGTGTGACCACATGCGGCCTTGTGTGCACCGGACGGGAGAGGCGGCCGCTCCCCCGCTCTGGGGCCACCCAGCGACTGCTCTGGTGGGGCAGGCACCCTGTTTAAAAAAAAAAAAAAAGGAATATTATGCAGAAGTTAATTTATTTCAGTAATGCAACGCAAAATGGGAAACTAATATATGAGATAGACGCATTACATGCAAAGCAAGATAGTTCAAGCCGTGATTTGTCATAAGTGTGATGATTATGGCTTACAGCTCATGAAAACCCCAAATCCACAATCTCAGTAAATTAGAATATTACATGCAATCAATAAAACAAGGACTGTACATAGAACAATATCGGACTTCTGAAAAGTATAAGCATGCATATGGACTCAGTACTTGGTTTGGGCCCCTTTTGCAGCAATTACTGCCTCAATGCGGCGTGGCATGGAAGCTATCAGCCTGTGGCACTGCTGAGGTGTTATGGAAGACCAGGATGCTTCAATAGCGGCCTTCAGCTCTTCTGCATTGTTCGGTCTCATGTCTCTCATCTTTCTCTTGGCAATGCCCCATAGATTCTCTATGGGGTTCAGGTCAGGCGAGTTTGCTGGCCAATCAAGCACAGTAATCCCATGGTCATGGAACCAGGCTTTGGTGCTGGAAAATGAAGTCAGCATCCCCATAAAGCTTGTCTGCGGAAGGAAGCATGAAGTGCTCCAAAATCTCCTGGTAGACGGCTGCGTTGACCCTGGACTTAATGAAGCACAGTGGACCAACACCAGCAGATGACATGACTCCCCAAATCAACAGACTGTGGAAACTTCACACTGGACTTCAAGCATTTTGCAGTGTTTGCCTCTCCATTCTTCCTCCAGACTCTGGGTCCTTGGTTTCCAAATGAGATGCAAAAGTTGCTCTCATCAGAAAAGAGGACTTTGGACTACTGAGCAACAGACCAGGTCTGTTTTTCTTTAGCCCAGGTAAGACGCTTCTAACGTTGTTTGTTGTTCAGGATCGGCTTGACAAGAGGAATACGACATCTGAAGCCCATGTCCAAGATCCGTCTGTGTGTAGTGGCTCTTCATGCACTGACTCCAGCCTCAGTCCACTCCTTGTGAAAGTCCGCAAAACTTTTGAATGGCCTTTTCCTGACAATTCTCTTCAGGCTGCGGTCATCGCTGCTGCTTGTGCACCTTTTTCTTCCACACTTTGGGAACATCCAACTTCCTTTGCAATTACCTTTTGAAGCTTTCCCTACTTATGGAGGGTGTCAATGATGGTTTTCTGCACAGCTGTCAGGTCAGCAGTCTTCCCCATGATTGTGATTCCTACTGAACCAGACTGAGAGACCATTTAAAGGCTCAGAAACCCTTTGCAGGTGTTATGGCTTACTTAGCTGATTAGAGTGGGACACAGTGAGCCTAGAATATTGCACCTTTTCACAATATTTTAATTTACTCAGATTGTGGATTTGGGGTTTTTATGAGCTGTAAACCATAATCATCGCACTTATTACAAATCACTGCTTGAACTATCTTGCTTTGCATGTAATGCGTCTATCTCATATATTAGTTTCCCCTTTTACGTTGCATTACTGAAATAAATGAACTTTTGCACAATATTAAAAATTTTGAGTATCACCTGTATATGTTTTTTTTTTGCTTCATTTTTTGGAGTTGAATGAAGAGCCCCAAAACCAGGGCTCAACAAATCCCAGATGATATGTTGCCCTGGCAACTAGGAATTTTGTCCTGAAGTCTCGGTGTTTGTCAGCCATTCAGCACTGACCACACGACCCCTCCCCCTAGGCACACGGCTGTACGGAATGGACGTTGGCGAGGGAGCCGGTATATGATGTCACTCTCGCAATGACTCTACTAAACAGTGTGCGAGGGAGCAGAGCAAGAAGAGCTTGAAGATTACAGGATAAGAGCAGTTCCACTGGATCCTAAGAAAGGATCCACGATCCACTCCAGCTCTCTCAAAGGTAGGGAGACTGGGTGGACATAAATTAAAATAAAAGAAATAATTAGAAAATGTGTGTCTGTCAGTGAGTGTGTTTCTGTCAGTGAGTGTCTGTTTAGGTGACCTGCCTCACTCTGATCGCATGGGAAAGGTGTTTTTACTCACCTTTGTCACAGCTGGCTCCATGACTGAGATTATCAATATTGGTCATCTCAGACAATACATTGGTTTCCAATAAGTAAACACTAGGAGGCTATTGTGCATGCGCAGCAAAATGCCATGCTGAGCCAATCAACATCTCATAGAAATGCATTGAACCAATGCATCTCTTTTGGGGAATGTTCAGCGTCTACATGCAAAATGTGCAGCACTAGACGAGAAAGCACCTCTAGTGGCCGCGAGTAACTGCCACTATAATTGTTACCACTGGGGGATCCAACGGGGGCAATTGCCCCTCCTCCCCCCCTCAGTGCCTTGCTCTCCACTGACAGTCCTGCTGGGTGCCTTCAAGGACCGGAGGGGAGATCAGTGATGTCCCTTACCGGTCCGCAGGCACTTTGCTGGCAGCCGACAGGGGAGGGAGAGCTCAGCCTACAACTCCTCTGGGTCCTCCTCTCACAAGCACAGAGCATTGCCACGGTTACCACGGCAATGCTCTGGTTCTCAAAAGAGTGAACTCTAGCCCAGGAGCTGCAGGCTAGAGTTCCATCCCATCACTAGGACCACCACGGCTTACCCACTGGAATCCCAGGGATTGCAGGAAATATCCTGCCTCCCTCAGCAAAGGTAAGAAACATGTATTCCTGACCCTATAGTGTTAACACCACCATCTAGCCCTCTTGGGCCCCTCATGTCTCCATAAATATAGCAAAATCTAACTGTATTCAAGCCTGAAGCTGAAACTCTGCATTCTGTTAGACTCAGAAAAAAATCAGTGTGCTGACATCATCAGAAGTGGTAGTCTGATCCAATCACAGTGCTTCTCCATAGGATTGGCTGAGACTGACAAAGAGGCAGGACAGGGGCAGAGCCAGCATGATTCAAACACAGCCCTGGCCAATCAGCATTCCTCATAGAGATTAATTGAATCAATGAATATCTATGAGGAAAGTTCAGTGTCTGCATGCAGAGGGAGGAGATACTGAATGTATGAATGCATTTTAGGCAGCCATGACCCAGGAATGATCTCTAACAGCCATCTAAGGAGTGGCCTTTTAAGTTATCACTAGGCTGTAATGTAAACACTGCATTTTCTCTGAAAAGACAGTGTTTACAGCAAAAAGCCTGAAGGTAATGATTCTACTCACCAGAACAAATTCAATAAGCTGTAGTTGTTCTGGTGACTATAGTGTCCCTTTAATAATAAATAAATAAAAAAAAGTATATATTTATCTACCCCCAAATAACTCCCCACACACAAACTGCCCTCCAATATACACACACTGCTCCTAATACACACACATACTGCCCCCAATACACAAACACCACTGCCTCCCAGTACACACACACTCACTGCTCCCCAATATGTATGTATATATATATATATATATATATATATATATATATATACACACACACACACTACATACACACAGCACCCCTCACACACACTTCCCCCAATACACACACACATACTGCCCCAAAACACTCACACACACTGCCCCTATTTCCTACTACTGTCCCTATTCCCTGGGAGGGCACCATGGCACTCCTGGCACCATAACCACTACAGAGAGATGTAGTGGTTATTGTGCCTGTATTGTTTCTTTAAATAATCTACCAGTGCCCCTCCCTAGATTATGTTCTGGATCCGCCTCTGGTTGTTACTAGACAGTAATGTACACAGTGCAATTTCTCTGAAAAGGCAGAGTTTATATTATAAAGACTGCAGGGACACAGGTCGGGAATTTTTCTGAGACACCCAACACTTGCATGTGACAGCATTTGTAAAAAGTGCACTTACTGAATGTGCCTTAATGTACTTTGGTTGGATAAACTGTGCTTTTAAACAATGATAACTTAAAGAGGCCCCCTTTGTAAGCCAGGCGATGCATTGAAATACTGTGTTAACTTAGATAAAGCTATACAGACACTTCTCCCTTACCAACCGGGTTCCGTTCCTACGACCCGGTTGTAGAACGAATTGGTCGGTAAGTGAGGAGTTAAGGGATTCCCTGCTCTGGTGTGTTCGGGGAAACGTCCCCGAACATAGATGAACGCACCAGAGCAGGGAACCCCTCTAATCTATGTTCGGGGAAATTTCCCCAAACATAGACTTGGGGGATTTCCTACCCTGGTGCACTTGTCTATGTTCGGGGAAGTTTCCCCGAACATAGACATGCGCATCAGAGCATGGAATCCCCACGACGGCTCGCACTTAAGCCTGGTCGTAAATGCGAGCAGTCGTAAAACACTTGTATAACAATGAGAGCACTGGTGGGTCAGATGGTATCAATCAAATTAGAAAAACATTTATTCTTTAGTTGCATAATATGTGATCAAGGGTTTAGTCTCAGAAGTGACTTTTATCAAGATATCTTAGAATAAACTGTTGATGACATTATATGGTTTATTAAAAGATAAACTACATCTCAAGGAGATTGATATAAGACCACGAGCAAAATAACAGCTCTGCAATATATATAATAGATATACACACATATACATATAATTAAAGCCCAGCCAATTGTCACCCAAAATACACAAATAGCTCTTTGAGGGTTTGGTAAAATAAATCAAAATGGTAGATTATTTATTGCGTAGATATTTTAGTCTGGTACTAAAGTCTGGAAAGCCTGTGTAGAAAGATAACATGCTATTTAATATTTGTATGTATGTATGTATGATTGTTGGAGTAGTAAACATGGTTTATTACATATAATAAAGAACAAAAAATCAAGTTTACTTTAAGTCAAAATTTGGTTATATTCATCATTGTTTGAGTGATATATCATAACTTGCGTATCCAGTGTAGTAATACTGTAGTGTAAATAATACTGGCCCTTCAAGATAATGTCCTGGCATTAGAGGATTTGGAGAGGGATTAATTCTTGATGTAGATCACTTTGACAGTTAGTCATAAGAGGACACAGTCTGTTTTAAAGTTCTCCGTGCATTGATTGGATCTCAATCCATTGTTCTCTCTACCGTCGTCTGATGGGCTTGTACACACACACCGCCAAAATGATCATTGCAATTAACAATATGCTTAGAATGCTTCCCAGCAATACTGAAATACAGAAACATAAGTAATGTTACAAAATAATCCTGCCGAATATTAAAATGTAGTTAAAAAAAACTTGTCATATTTGGGACCACAATATTTAGTCATACCAACACTCTGGAAATGCTAATGGATATGGCAATGCCCTACTAATAAGTTATTAGAAAATAAAAAAAAGTCTTCCCCTCCACCCCCACCCTAAAAAAAGGAAACAACATCAGTTTCTTTTTTCCATTTAATTTCACATCCAGGTGATTTATGTACCAGCCCAACCCAAATCCCATGCATATTGGCTAACATTGCCCAGCACAGCTCATATCTGATTAATAATATATACCCCTCTGAGGTGGGGCATTAATGTGGAGCAAAATGATTTCCAAATGCATGAGGGGTGGATAACTAACTGTCCAATCATAGCAAAGAAAGGTATATAATTATATGTGTGGAAACATCTGAAACAGACCGTTCAAAATGGCACATCTGTGACTTCTAAAGCTTTATGTTTATTTAGTATTTTTCGTTCTTTTCATCAAATCGTGTTTTGTTTTAACCCTGTTAAACCTAGCTCCCAGCCTGCCTTTTGCTGACACATTGAACCTGTTCCCATGTTGCTATATGATGGCCAGCAGCCCCCCAGCCCCTGCTCTCCGGACAGATCCACTCATAGAGCATCTCCAGACCATGCATGCTGCCTGCCCCCCGTCATGTACTGCGCTGCTGCATGTGTGAGAACCCAGTACTGCTACTCGCACCACCACCAGCCAGCCACACGTGTACCATGTCCAGCAGCCCAACCCGGGGGTATCACACTATCATTGCTCTCACCCATGTTTTGTTTGAGCAGCACGACATAGGGTCTGAACTGAGCCGGGGTGACATCCGCCTGGGCCTGGGACTCGGCCACACACAGCGCCAGGGAGAGCAGCACCAGCTCCATCACCATGTCTGGGCCCCACGTCCACCTCCTCCTCCTCCTCCCTGCACCATCAGCAGCAACAGAGAGCAGGGAGGAGGAGAGCTGTAACCTGACTGGGAGGAGACTGGACCTGCCTGCTGATTGGGGTGATTCCCACAGCATCTCAGTGGGGTGATACAGCCTTTTTAATGGGGGGAAAGAGGGGGTGTACATACAGCCCTTCAATGGGGGATACATGCAGGATTGTAATGTATGTATGTGATGTGAGACAGAAATAATTGTCTCAGAGGAGAATTTACACAATAATACATACCTCCCAAGTGTCCCTATTTAGGAGGGACAGTCCCTTTTTGGGGGCTCAAACTACTCTGTCCATCTTTTTTAACCTAATGTCCCTCTTTTCTAGGAGCTCCATATTGATGGTGTGTGGTGGGGTGTATAACAAAGCTCCATTGCAATATTACTCACAGTAAAGTATCTTAAAAGGGTTAAACCAACCTACATGACCACTTCTGCTTACAGAAACGGTCATGGAGCAAGGAATCTGTATGTGCAGTGTTTCAGCTTGAAACGCTGCATATACAGAATAATCTGCCCTTTTGTGCCTGTCGCTAGTAGCATCCCCTGCAGATGTGACTGAGGCAGCCCAGAACTTTGTTCCAGGCGGCTTATTGTCAATTACGTCAGTTGTCAGCGCAAACTGCAAGGGGAAGATTTCATATCCCCAGCCCCCGCCTCATTCCATTTATTAATATTTGTCTGTTTTGGGGGGGTTTATTTGTAATTCCCTCAGTCACTTACTCCCTCACAAGCCATTCCCTCCCATATCAGCGCACACACCAGCGCTCTGAACTGATGAGAATGGTCCAATCTAATGCTTCTCTATGGCAAGCATTTCATTGGACCTCAGAGAGACAGGGTGAGGAAGAGCATTGCCCGGTGCTGGATTATAGGTTAGATCTTTCTCTATTTACAGAGCTTTCAACAGTAATAATGAGGGGTAGGGGACCAATGAAACATGTGCACAGGAGGGCACTGTAAAGTAAAAGGAAGAACGATAAATAAGATTGGCGTAACCCTTTAACCTACAATAAATCTGTTTAAATAGGATACATTGTTCTTATACTAACTTACATTTTAATTGTAAGAAATGTTATTAGTAAGTCTTCTAAAATTTCTCAGAACAGCCCCACCCCTATCCATACCCCTCACTCACACTCCTAAAATGCAAGTGTCTCTCTTTGTCCATTTGAAATGCTGGAATGTTGAGAGGTATGCGGTAGATAATGCCATCTGATATAACGTGAGGTCTTTCACGAAATAGTATGTCAAGGAGACTTCACCTAGGCTAAACTAGCAGATTTGGAAACACGGACAAATAACTTCTACCAACTAGAGCACAGTAAAGTTAATTTTCACAGAAGGTGATAGAATCCTATGCGATGCAATATACAATTAGAAGTGACAGCGTTGTACAGCCCAAATGTAAGGTTGTAGAAACACTATTCAATTATTCACCTCTTCAAGACAGATGACATGCTTGAACTGTCATCGGATTTGACTAACCCTCGTGTCCTGAAGGGGTTAAATCCTGTAAGGAACATTAGCCCCCAGTGGGTACTATTTGTCATGATAAAATAGAGCACATGTTTTATATTTCAATTCTGATTTATGGCTTTTCATAAATCAGGGCATATCTTGTCTTTGAACTTCAAATTGCTTGGCTCTGCAATTCTTTCTTCCAAATAACCCCTGGGCTTCCCTTGATTGAATAAGCATTTGGGGACAATTTTTTCCTGAAAATAATTAGATTTTCTAAACATGCCATTCACTTTTTTGTTATTTTAATCTTTCTTATCTTTTTAAAAAAAATAATCAGCATTCCCAAACAAATTTCCGTATTAGAAAACTGTAATACACAATAATATTTTTAACTATATATGACTATATAATTAAAAAATAATTTTACAGATGCCTCACTCTGCCCAGTCCCATCCAATCTAAGTCCTTCTTTCGCTGAGCTTGTTTTTAGAGTATATTCCTTGTTGGTTTTTTTTATTTGTTTGATGTGAACTTATTTATTAGGGCAACAGCTGGATACAATATAGTCCCTTTCCCCTCTTTGTTTCTATTTTTTTTTCTGGTCACTTATCTTTACATCTTTAATGTACTCATACACACACATGTCTTGTTACATTGATGCTGCTGCATCGCATGGAACCTTTTCTTTTGTCAGTCAGTTTTTGATGAGGATTTATAGATGGAAAAGTAGTAAGGTACACTAATAAGGGATTACAAGGCTGGGTAGGGTAATATAGGCAAACAAGGCAACATGTACAAATAACAGCACAGTCCATCATGGAAGAACATGGAAAGAGAACATTTTACGCATGTCAAATGGCATTAAGCGAGTGGGAGAGTGTTGGACATGACGAAGCAAGAAAAGAGGGAAAGGAGAAATAAAGGAGGGAGGATGAGGCAAAAGTGCGAAGGGAGAGAAAGAAAAAAGGTAGCGATTGGAGAAATGAAGGGTTGGGGGAGGTGGCCCCACACAAGGGAACACAAATATCTCATGGAGGGTCTCATGACAGATTCTCCATTGGCAATGTAAGAGAGCCAGGGGAGTCATGTTGCATTGAATTCATCCATCCTGTTAAGTAGAGAACCCATAAGGTGCCCTCGAAGGCACATTAGATTCAAAATTAGGAGATATACCTTTGTGGAATTTCCCCCTTTTCCTCTATACCTTTGAAGCCGTATTACATTCATGTACATTTGCATACTTTGTTTACTTCCAGGATCCTAGTGAGATATTCCTGTTGTTAAACCATGTTTTTCCCCTATTATAGAGGACTGTACCTTCCATTTGACTGTTTTTATTCATTTTTGTTAGTCTCTCATATTTTTATGATATTCAAGATATTGATTAAAAGTTACGTTTTATCTTATACACTCACATTTAGAGCACACAATTTCTGGTAGATTTTTTCTTTTGTTTTTTTCAACTTTGCAAAACAGTATTTTAATTTGCACGTGAGCCAAACTTTAAATACTGAGGCTGATAAAAGGATGTTGGTGAAGAGACTGGGAATCTGAGTCTGGCCTACCCAAACTGTAGTTAGAAATGAGCCACTGGACTCTTCTAAATCAAGGTTAATCCAAAGGGCACAGGAAGGGAGCACATGCCAATGGACAATTCTAGAAAGATAGGTTGCCTCATAGTATTTTGTGCCAGAGGGAAGACCTGTACCCCCTTGTTTTGGAAGGTACAATTATTCCAAGTGGAGGCATGGAGCTTTTTGTCTCCATACGTATGTGTGTATGACAAAGGTCATGGATGAAAAGAAAGAGTAGTGAATATCTATCAGTATGGTTTATAGAAGATATGTTATCCTGGGAAGGATGTTCATTTGATTGCATGTATCTCTCCAAACCAGGATGTATATTGTGAGTTCCAATAATGAAGGTAAGTCGGAAAATTGAATCTGTAGAGTCGAGAAGGGTCTGGATATGCCCAAATACCCAAGCACTTCATACTCTCCCTAAACCATTTGAATGGTAAACTGTCTCACCGGATGGAATCGAGATGTTAAGATTCTCTCATGGAACCTTTTGTTATTATTTGCTTTAATATGACACACATTTTACTTTTTCACTCTTTTTCTCACATGAAGAAGCACGAAATTGTCTTGTCCAACAGTTGAACAACTACAACAAACTAAGCACTGTCACATATTTGTAATACAATTACTTCCAGAAAAGAGCACATCTGTAAAAAACAGAAAAGTCATCTGAATAATTGATCATTTTGAAAATGATGTGTGAAAAAAAAGTTTTACCTGACAAAGGGGTATGGAGAATTGAGCCGCTGACTGCTGGGAGGTGGTTCCACTTGACAATTAAACTTGGGACTGAAATAATGCACTCATGCCAATGTCTAGTTAACATTCATTCTATATCGTTAATGAAAGTAAAATTTTCATATTGACAGAAGTTTACTAGGTAGAAAGATACTGTGCAGATTCTTAGACCTAATTGATAGGTTTGTGTGTTCTCACCAGCACTTACTCATAGTTTTAATTAATTAATTGTCAGAACAATATTTAAATGGAAAAAAAATAGCGCTGGTGAGTGTGAAACACTAGCAGGCTAATGTCCTCTGGATAAACACATTGATACACTACCATGCTGACCATTGCCACCACTCAACATCATTAAAGCAAACTGGTTTTCACTTCAGCAATATTTTTGATTGTGCCTCACCGAAATGAGTTAAAGGAACACTCCAACTACCATAACCACTACAGCACACTTTAGTGATTATGATGCCACGAGTGCCCTGGTACCACACATTGTAATTCAAAGCATTTTAGACCAGTATGACTTCTTACCTGGGATACGCTAGTCTCCACTTCCCACATCCACTACTACTGGAAGCTCCAAAGCAAGAACATCCATTAGCTTGCCTGTGCTAACCCCTGCTGTACATGGCTAGCTCGTTGGCTGAGAGTGTCAGCTGATTGCTCTTAGCCAATTAGCAAAGTTTAACTCAGATACAAAGCTGGAAGTAGTGGAGGTGGGGACCCAAATAACACAATGCTTGGATATTGTGGATAAACTTGACCTCAAACTAGAAGCATTGTTTGTCCTTCTCCTGCAAATGGATCTAGTCACCTCTACTATATTTGCTATAGCAGTAGTGTGACATTTCACTTTCCTAATGAAATCTCGGACTCATTGTTTTTCATCATTCCTTTACTCATGGTCAATGAGTCGACTGATTCATTCATTCACCCATCCCTTATTTAGTGCATAGACAGAGAAAATCCAGAAATAGTTAATAACCACGGATCAAAAATGGAACTGAAATCAAACAGTTTCACTTAAACACTTCCATTTTTATTTATCATTATAGATTAAACCATAAAATAAACAGATAGAAATAAGATAATTTAAAACAAAACCAGTAATAATTTTCAAATACAACAAAAAAGCTATTTCTACAAAAAGAAATATCTACACAACGCAGTTTAGTTAGCCTACTTTTTATAACTCTGTCTATATGTCACAATGGTTAATACATGTTTGCTAGTTTTTATTGTTATTGGGTTCAAATGCATTGAATGCTACATTCTCCTTAGAAGGAACTAAGCAGTAGAGCTTCATTTTATTTATTGTGGCATCTATAGTGTGCCATTTGTGCAGGGCCAGATTGATAGGGGTTATTGGAGCTGAAGTGCCAAGCTTACACATTGCAATAGACCCAAGCTCCATGATATTTTCTGCCATGTGCAGCTACTGTGAGTGCCAACATATTCCACAGCGCTGTACAACTGAAGAAACAAATACAGCATACACAGACCAATACAAAAGGTAAAGAGTGCCCTACCCGTGAGCTGAGATCTAGCCATTAAAGTTTTTTCATACAAAGTACTTAGCTAAATAGCCCATGAGCTTACAATCTAAAGGTTAAGATACAGAGTTGATACAAGAGGTAAGAAACATGGAGTTAGTAGGCAGAGCGAATTAAAGGGTAATTGCAGGTGCAGCAAGTATATAACTGCAGACTCCAGTCTATTTTTTCCTGATTTTAAAAGTTCGTGTTCTATCCTTTTCAGCCATAATGAAGTTAGTGTTGTGTGAGCCTTCCCACATAATTCTACCTCTGCCAGAGATTCAAAACATCCTTTTTTCCCCTTTTATTTTACCAAAACTCTAGCTATCTAAGCAGCAAAGATTTGCTCACTCAGAAATATAGTATTTTAATTTTTATAAACATTATTTACACCTGGAAGCTTCTAATTAGACCTCCTAGCACTGAAACACAGTACCACATTTTAGAGCGTTTAAATCACTGAAAATCATTGACCAACTTCATCCTTCATCAATATACTTACCAATAAGTACAAATAAAGTAACTAATATCTATACAACGTATGCTCATATTTTCATTAAATAGTTTCTCACCTATCATATTACCAACATTTAGTGCCTATTATAAATAATATTTAACAGCCCACATAATATGCTCTGTTTTTATATTATCTATTACCATACCATTATATATGTGATATGTGACAAGCACTTCTCAATATCCAGTACTGCCCCCTCTTTTAAAATAGCAACAGGCAGGACATAGTTTATTCCCTACTATAGAAACCTTTACTTCACTAAATTATTATATATATTCTTCTTAATTGGATGCATATTTGTACATACTATTTTTATATTAACCTTTTAAATCGAGCTATTATTAATATATATATATATATGTATATATGTCATAATTTAGACAAAGACAAAAAATGCAGCTGGCCCGTTTAAATGAAAGCAGCAATGTGAGTGGGGATACATACTGACATGTGATGTGCATCTCTGCAACTTCTAACTCATTATTTCCAAATTCTAAAAGCTTGCTACGATTTGTCAATGAAAATTATATCAAATGAAAACATATTGACTGTATAAACAAATGGGTGTCTTTATTCATATTCTCCATAATGTGAGAAGACAGAAAACCATTGTAAAAAATGATCTGCATTACAAGTCTACCAGGATGAATCTCCAGTGCATCTCATAAGCCACAGCATTCATCTTATTGTAACTCCAAATAAGTCGGACTGCACCCTTAAAACCCACTTTTATGGGGATGAGTGAAGACCATTATAATGTACCAATGGCCAATGTTCTGTCACTCTGCCAGGCTTCTCCAGTATCCACTCCATCAGGAGACTATGGGGCAGGCACCATGCTTAAAGTGTCAGGCTGCTGATCCCTCACTGACTTCTCTGGCCGAATACAGACTGCCAGTCTCTGAGAAAAGAGAAAAGGATTAAATCAGTCATTTTACATATATCCACCCATACATCTATTGACTCACCCACCCAGCCGTCCAACCAGACAGCAAGCATCACTGCATTGTGATAGTTTTTCTACCCGTGAAAGTTTTCCAATGAAATGGTGTGGTATGTAGAGTGGTCGATTTAGTTTTTTTATTGATTGATTTTTGAGAATTTTTTCTTTATTACTACATAGAAAATACAGAGCCACAGTCGTTATACAAGTGGTGCAGCAGCATAGTTTTTTTCAGTAATCACAAAACAAGCCCTGATAGCCCGAACAAGATAGAGATACAAAATATACAACAAAATTAACATCAATGTACTAGCTGTATGTTTTAGTAACGCATTATTCTCTAAATTATACACTGTGTAAGAGACTAAGCACCCACTCTGGAACCCACGAGGCTTGCTTCATATAACAGATATGTTGTTTGCACCATATGAACTCATACTTAGTTCATTTTTTATTTTATGTTATTATGTTCTTTGATTCGTTTAACTTTCTCCAAAAATGTCATGCAATGAACAAGTCTCCAACCGGCTACATTTAAAATGTGATATTTGTGAATGCTTCATTTATTATTTTTCCCTGACTCTTGAGAATAAAAAACAAAAAGAAATATGTGGCACCTAAGGTCATAATTACCATTGGGACACTCCACTGCACAAATGCAAAATACATTTAAAAAATATAAACACTGTTTAGTAGATGCACCCCAAATGAAAACGTGCCTGCATTTAATAATGCATTTTTTCCCTTTGGGGCTATATCTAAAAACAGCTTGTAAATGCTGCAGTTCTCCTATCTGCAGCCTTTACAATCCCTCCCCTACAAACCCTGCCCAGACGTCCTGTGGCTGTCCAATCGCAGACTTCCCAATACAGCTCAATGAGAAGTCCTTGTAAGGTAGGTGCCATGGGCAATTGTTGCCTCTTGAATAACCAAATCAGGAAGTAACAGGAGCTGTTGTCTGCTTGAAAGAAAGTGTGTGTAACTTAATTTGTAAAAGTGTCAATTTTTATTAAAATCTGCACTTTTTTCAAAATAAAAAAAAGCAGACACTCTTCACATATACATATACATAGGTGTTTGGAGTGTCCCTTTAAGCAAGTATAGCAGAGTAACACCGATCAGTCTCAATTTATGTATTCAAAGATGCATCTTTACCTCACGTTTGAGGGAGTTTGGTTTATTTTCACTAAACCCAGCATCAGAATTTCTTATCACCTATGTAGACATATTCTGATGTGTTTTGTCTATCCGTAATGTATAACTCTCCATACTGACAATAACACACCATAAAAAGCACAAGGAACATAAACCGCACTATACTAATCATCAAAGTATTATATATTTGAATTTAACAAAAAAACTGTTATCGTGGTCAGTTTACAACTAGTCACATATGATATATTCAATGGATACTTGTTAAAGCACCAAAGAGAAGACTTCCACAAGGTGGCACTATTTCATTAGAATATATGTGTTGTATGAGACCTGCCTAGAAAATATTGTAGACCATTGAAATATTTATTTATTTTAAACACTTAATGTTGTAACCTACACAGAAAGTTCCACGCCTATACCATATTAAATAAAGTATAGTATGTGCCCAGTCATGACATGAACGACATCCACCCTACGAAGTTCTACTCCCTATTTGTTATGTAAGCGCTGTAATGATGTGACACTGCTTTATTAAGGTTTGTTTCATTATGTTATTTCTATTCTTTTTAAGTGACTTGCGTGAACAATATGTCAACTGAAAATAGGATTTCCTATCCCACGCAGCTTGAAATAATTGTTGACTGCCTAGGGTCCAGGTGCCATGGAGATACCTGGGTAACTTTGCCCCATTCACCATTCCAATGCAAAGTGTGAATAAGGGACAAACTGATAAACTTATCAGGGCCCTATGGGGCCATAATACTTCTCTGATAGAGAAATCAGCAAAGAACATGACATAGGGGAGGTTCTGACCCCCATAACATAATAGTTACCAATAAAACCTGGAATTGTGCAAGGTTTATTGAGTTGAAGAGAAGCGATCTTGATACACAGATACACTAGTCCTGACTAGTAATACATTTAGGCCTGAATAGTAAAACAAACTTTTAAATAATACACAAATAATAATACAGGGGAGATGTCACCTGTTTAAGGGATCCTGGAGTCCACACCAACTTGTACACCATGTAGACTGGGATCCAGATGAAGGATGATGCTCCGATAACAAATCCTACTGAGATGGTCCACTCAGGATACTGATAATCAAATAACATAAGAGGTGGTTGATCCAGTAGAGAGCTGACTATGATAAACTGAGAACACACCAAAGAGAATGAGATTAAGTTTGATAATTAGCATTCTTGAACTTTATTTTGTAATTTTAGAATTGTAATAAAATGGTTGCCCATAAGAGCATAACATGCTTTAGATAATAGTAGTCTTTATGGTGATATAATTTAGAAATGATGTTAACAGTATGGTGTTTCACAGTAAGGTATATTTATTCGGAGGCTGAAGTGATTGCAGCTTACTCACAAGTGAGCCTAGAACAGGAAAAATCTAAGCTACTATATTAATTATGTTCTGGTCTTAAAGATAAAAACATAGTTAAAAATGTTAAATGAAAGTAAATGCTAGGAAGGAAACAATATGCATTTTAATAAGTAGTAAAAAAAAAAACAACAAGAAAAAAGACAAAAAAATCTCAACACTTACTGCTAAGAATGCTGGGCTAACAGCTACCCAACAAACTCGCCAATATATTCCTGGAGAAAAGCCCAACATGGATTTGACATCATTACAGAACCTTTGTATTCCTGTAAAATAATATCCAGGCAGTCATACAAGCTCAATATGCACTCTAGGAAGCAAATAACTACTTCTGGAGAAATGGAATATAATAGAAATAGCCTTGCAGACAACACAGATTGTTTAATTCTGCTTACCAAGAAATCCTCAGTGTGACAAAATCCCTATTTTGCCTTCCCCAGAGTCATTCTCCTACTCTGTTCAAACATTTTGTTAATATTTTATTCCCCATTCATTCGAAGAAACTAAGTACTGAACACCGACCACCCCTTGGCTCAATAAGTAAAAAAAAAACACAGGAATTCAGTGCTCTCTTTGTGTGGCCGTTCGTATAACCGAACGCCATGTGGTGGAGAAAACGGCGGCCATCTTGTCGATCGAAAGCAGGCAGCGGGACTTGGTCGTCGAGTGCCTGGAACTCTGAGGCGGCCACTCCACGGCCCGAATACTGTTGAAAACGTACGAACGCCTGCTTCTAGTCGTGACAAGCCAGGAGAGCGCTGTTCGACAGATTGTTCGACAAGAACTCCCGAACAAAAGCCACACTATGAGCCAGGGGACCCCTTTTTATTCATACACAATTTAATTTTGAATGAAAACTCTTGAACTAGACAACTGCTACCCCTGAACTTATGGAACTATTTCTGGGCAGACATCTCAAGAGCGGTCGGTCAATTCTTCACCCCTGTGGTGATTCGACTATGTTTGTGGGATCTGAGCGCTTTTTGGATATGTTGTGCGCTCAGATCCAAAATATCTGGGGATGTGTAGACTATGGAGGTTTGGTTGCACAAAATATGACTTTTGGATTTTAAAGTGTTTTGTGAATTTTTGAAAGAGTGAATATTTTCTGTACTTGGAGATAATTGAGTTTAAGCCAGCCACTTAACTCAATTATCTCCTAGATTCAGAGGAGGGATTGTATTGTTTGTATTGGGAATGTCACAATTTGTAACCTTGTTGCTATTGGTTGTTATGTTTGTGTCCCTGTCCCCAACAAGGTCCATGTGGGCGTACACCTTGCTTGGGGACTTGCATAAAAGGCCAGCTGTGGCTTCCATTAAACTGAATGCTTTTACCCCTTCATGAAGTCTTGGCTCATGTTTGAGGCATTGGGAGTTATAATCACTACAATTTCTTCTATGCTTGGATGTCGGGAGATTCTGCAGAGATATAATCAGCCGGAGTATAGGAGATCCGTTACACTCAGCAAATCCAATTATTCCAGAAGTGTTTCACAAACTGCATAATTGTGAATCTAATGATCGGTCTAAAAATGTTAGTCCTCTATTTTTAAATAAAATGCAGATTTTAGTGCAA